GGGCGCGCTCAAGGCGCGGGTGCGAGAGGCGATCCCGGAGACGAACGCGCGGTTGAAGGCGATCCGAGCGGCGCACGGAGAGAAGCGCGTGGGCGAGGTCACGGTGGGGATGGTCATGGGAGGGATGCGAGGGATCACCGGGATGCTGTATGAGACGTCGTTGTTGGACGCGGAGGAGGGGATTCGGTTCCGTGGGCACACGATCCCGGACTTGCAGCGACGTCTTCCGAAGGCGACGGCGAACGGCGAGCCGCTGCCAGAGGGGATCATGTGGTTGATGCTCACGGGTGAGATTCCGAGCGATGCGGAGGTGAAAACGTTGAGCCAGGAGCTCGCTGCGCGAGCGGAGCTGCCTAAGGCGGTGCACGACGTGTTGGACGCGTTGCCGAAGAACACGCACCCGATGACGCAACTGAGCTGCGCGCTCATGGCCATGCAACCGGAGAGCAAGTTTGCAAAGGCTTATCAGGACGGCGTGCACAAGACGACGTTCTGGGAGTACGCGTTCGAGGACTCCATGGATATCATCGCCAGGCTTCCCGCCGTTTGCGCTGCTATTTACAGAAGAACGTTCAAGGATGGGAAGCTCATCGCCGCCGATAAAAACTTGGATTGGGCCGGCAACTTTGCGCACATGATGGGGCACGATTCGGAAGCCGTGAAGGAACTCATGCGTCTGTACATGACGATTCACGTCGATCACGAGGGAGGGAACGTCTCGGCGCACACCACGCATTTGGTCGGGAGCGCTTTGAGCGACCCCTACCTGTCTCTCGTCGCCGGCTTGAACGGTCTCGCCGGCCCGCTCCACGGCTTGGCGAATCAAGAGGTCTTGAAATGGTTGAACGAGACGCGTGAAAAGGTTGGTGACGACGCAACCAAGGAACAGCTCACTGAATTCGTATGGGACACCCTGAAAAGCGGTCGGGTCGTTCCCGGATACGGGCACGGCGTTCTTCGCAAGACGGATCCACGGTACACGTGCCAGCGCGAGTTCGCGCTCAAGCACCTGCCGAACGACCCGATGTTCAAGCTCGTCGGTAAGCTCTTCGAGGTCGTTCCCGACGTTCTGACGCAGACGGGTAAGGTCAAGAACCCATGGCCCAACGTGGACGCGCACTCGGGCGTGCTCCTTCAGTATTACGGCATTACGGAGGAAAACTTCTACACAGTCTTATTCGGCGCTTCGCGCGCGATCGGAGTCCTGAGTCAACTGATCCTCTCTCGAGCGTCTGGATATCCAATCGAACGCCCGAAATCCGTCACGTCGAAGTGGATCGAGGACAAGTTTGGTAAAGTCGAAGCGTGAGGAGTGCCTAGTCAACGTCGTCCTGTAAGCGTACATTTCACGTAAATATTACACCGGCGTCATCGCGCGTCATCGTCACCGTCGCCCTCGAAGCGATCAAATGAACTATCCCGAGCGCGCGAACGGGTTCTTATCAGCCTGCTGCGCCGCCCTGACATCCGCCGCCGTCGGCGACGCGCGCACCGTCCCGCTCGCCGCGCCCTCGATCTTCCCCCCCGACGCCCTTCCCCCCCCCGGTCCCTCTAAAACGTCCATCTCCGCGTACAACCGCGTCGCCACCTCTTCTTCCTGCAACATCGCCTCTTGCTGCGCCTTCCACGCGAGTTCGGCCTCGTGCTCGCTCAATTCATTACGCTCGGCTCGAAATCGTTCGAACGACGCCCCCCACTCCCCCGAGTGCGCGTCCTCGCTCGATCGTCGCCCGTCGGCGCACCGGGCGATGATGCTCGACGGTTTACACCCCTTGAACATCCCGCGCGGGGCGCTGCGGCGTGCGCGACGCGCGCGCGCGTCGAAATGACGTCGTCAATGCGCGTCGCGCCGCGCGCGTCCACGCCCTCGCGCGCGGCGCGAACGCGCGCGCGCGCGACGACGACGACGACGACGACGCGACGCCCGCCGCGCCTGGTGCTGCTCGATCGCGACGGCGTGATCAACGTCGACGTCGGGGCGCCGGGCGTGACGGACGTGAAGGACTTTCGTTTGGTGCGAAACGCGGCGCGGGCGATTCGCGCGCTGAACGACGCGAACGTTCGAACGTGCGTGTGCACGAATCAGACGGCGATCGGGAAGGGGTTGGTGGAGGCGTCGTACGTGACGGAGACGATTCACGGGGCGATGCGGGAGACGTTGGCGCGCGACGCGGGCGCGGAGTTGGGAACGATTTATTACGCGTGGAAGGCGCGAACGGAACCGTGCGGTCGAAGGAAGCCGGAACCTGGGATGTTGCTTGAAGCGCTGGAGGAGTGCGGGGTGGAGGCGGCGGACGCGGTGTTCGTTGGGGACACGGTCACGGACATGCAAGCGGCGGCGCGGGCGGGCGTAGGCCGCGCGCTAGTGTGTACCGGATATGGAGAAACCATGGGTGAGGCACTTCGCGCGCGCAATGTGTCGTTGCCACACACGATCGTTATGCGCGCGGACGACCCCACGATGTCGTTCCCGGACGAGTGCTTCCCGTTCGATGTGTACGAAGATTTGTATCACTTTGTTCGCTGCGCGTTTGCCGACGCGTAGTATTTCTAGCTTAGTCGTGTAGGTCGCACGTCAATCTGTACATCGTGCGATAGAGGCTGATGAGAATTTTGATCGATTTTCTCGCCGCTTGGACTTCGCAGTCGCGCGTTCCATCCCGCGCGGTCGCGAGCAAGTCGTTCTGCGCGCGCGTAATTTCGCGCAGCCGCTTCGAGTGCGTGGCGCCACGCTCCGAAGCTTTCCGATCGGCCCACTCTGATCTGGCTCGCAGTGCTCTTCCCAAGAGCTCGACGCCCGGTTCGATATCGTTCGCTCGCGTTTCGCCCGGCCACAAGCGCTCGTACGGATCGGTGTCGGGATCTCTGAGCAAAAGTGACTTGTCATCAACCTTTGTCAGCAGCTTTACGTCTCGCTCCAAACACTCGATGGCCGTCCTGAGCGTGCTGCTCCTCGTCAAGTTCATTCGAAGCATCGGGGCGTCTTCGAGAAACGAGCTCGAGAGTTCCATGAGCTTACGCGCGCTCGAGGCGTCGTGGTTCGCCCGTCTCAGCGCCGAGGAGAGCATGTCGTGTTCGAGCCACGTGTACTCGTCCACGGTCCTTCGCCTCTTTCGCGTAGCCCGCTCGCCGAACAGGATCTGACCCTTCAGACGCACAATCTTCGCTTGGACGGCGTCGTTCTTGACGCGATCGTCGCATCCCACGGGCGACGTCGTCGATCTCGCCAGCGTCGCGAATCCCAAACCGAGTCGCGAAGGCGCGGGCGTCTTGAATATCGACTCCGGCACGACTCGTTGCCCGCACTGCACCGAACTCAGCGTGAGTCTGCGTTCATCGTCCGCTGGCGTTCCGTTCTCATCGTCCGTCGGCGTCGAGTTCGAACGCTGTCGCATCGCCGCGTCGCCGTCGCCGGACCGCGCCCGCGTCTCCCGCTCCAGGCGCGCGCACTCCTCTCGCTTCGCCCGCACGCACCCTCGCACCCCATCCCGCGCCACCCCGATGGATATCTCCATCGCCATCTCCGCGTCCATCTCCCACGTGGGTTCGAGCGCCATCGACGCCCGCATCGCGTCACCCTCGATCCTCAACGCCCCGCACCGCGCGCAGCACCGCGTCCCCCCATCCCCGAGCGTCGTCAACCGATCGCATCCATCGCACGGCGCCACGCGCGCGCCGCACCTCGGGCACGACAACCCGATCGCGGTCCCGCATCCGCTCGCGATCTCTCCCAGCGCTGTCGTTCACGCGCGCGGTCGTCGTCAGTCATCGCGAACGCCAATTCCGGGCACCATTCGCGCCATCCCATCGCTCTTCTCGTCCCCGCCCGCCGCGTCGTCGCTCGCGCGCGTTCGCTCGCGCGCACGTCCATCGAGCGCGTCGTGCGCGCACGCCGCCGCGGCCCGGGGGCGCGCGCGGAGCCAATCGAGCGCGTTCGGCGATGCCGTCATTCACTCGGCGGGGTTCGGCATGGGGCGGCCCCGGGCCGGCGCGCGACGCCGCGAACGACGACGGGACGACGCGGTCGAGGAAACGCGCGGCGATCGCGTCGACGTCCGCGCCGCCGCTCTTCGTCGGCGTCGACGCGGTGACGTGCGCGCGAAATGGATGCGTGCCGTGCCGACGGATCGTCTTCGCGTGCGCGGGGGAGACGACGGCGGCGAACGCGCGGCCGGAGGCGTGCCCGCGATGGAACGCGACGGGCGTCGAGGGCGGCAAGCGCGTGGGGCTGTACGCGCGACGGCGCGGACGCGTGCTCACGGTTGGGGATGGGGATTTTACGTTTTCGGCGGCGCTCGCGCGGACGCTGGGAGGGAAGACGATCGCGGCGACGTCGTACGAGAGCGAGGCGTCGTTGATGGAGATATATGGGAAGACGTGTTTGGAAACGCTGCGGGGGTTGAAAGAGCGGGGGGTGGAGGTGGCGCACGGCGTCGACGCGAGCGAGCTGGCGAAGACGCTTCCGGAGCGATGTCGGAAGCTCGGACCGTTCGACGCGGTGGTGTGGAACTTTCCGTGCGTCGCGCGAGACGCGGATGGAACCGCGCAGGAGGCGGCGCTGCACGGGGTGGACGCGCGGAGCGCGGAGGAACTCGAGGCGAATAGAGCGCTCGTGGAGCGCTTTGTCGCCGGCGCCGCAGAGTTGCTCGCCGAGGACGGAGGGGAGATTCACATCACGCACAAGGTTGGGATGCAGGGCGATTGGAACATCGAGAAGGCGGCCGCTTCGGTCGGAGCGTCCGGTCTCGTTTGTGCGGGTGCGGTTGTTTTTGATCGAATGGCGTACCCGGGGTACCGTCCGCGGAAAGCACTTGTGGCGAAGAGCTTTCCCGTCACGGACGCTCGCACTTTCGTCTTCACGAACTCGACAAACGGGGAGTCGGTGACACTGCAGAGAAAGTCAAAGCACGTGATCAAAGTTTGTTGACGCGCGAGACGAGGTTGTTATTCGCGCGTGACCAGATTCTTCTCTGTCAAAAATATTCATAACAAAGCAACAACAATGATTTCATATACTCAAAACTCGCCTTTTTGACAACGTCACGCTCACGCGCCGCGCACGCCGGTGAGACCCTTCGCCAGCTGTTTGACATTCTTGACGCCAGCGCGAGTGTACTGATTGTTCTCCCAGGCAGCACCGCCAGCGCGACAACCACCTTCCCACACGTGGACGAACTTATCCATGCCGTGGTAGTACTTCTCGAAAATTCTTCTATAGTACATTTCCTCCTTGCTTTGAGGAGGGTTGATGGGGTAGATTTCCTCGGCCTTGGCGTAATCCTCGTCGGACACTTGTTCGTTGCAGAACGTTTGCAAATCATCCACCCAGTTGAGGCCGACGCCTTCGCACTGCATGGCCTTCGTGCGCCAAAGCACGGGATCTGGGATTTCGCCGTCGAACAGCGCGCGAAGAGCATGCTTCTCCGGTTTTTCTTCGCCTTCGATGGTCTTGTACTGCGGATCCACTTCCATGACGGCGTCGATGACGCGCGGATCCAAGAAGGGCACTCGAGCCTCCAAACTGTGCGCCATAGTCATGCGGTCAGCACGTTGGCAGTTGACGTTGTGTAGGTGTCCGAAAATTCTGCGCAGCTCATTATGCACGTGTTTCGAGCTCGGAGCATCGCGGAAATAGAGATATCCAGCGAAAAGCTCATCAGAGCCTTCGCCAGTGAGCACAACCTTCACGTGTTGAGACGTGAGCTTAGCCAAGAAATAGTTGGGGATGGCGGAACGAATGAGCTCCGGTTCGTATGTTTCGAGGTGGTAGATGACGTTCTCGATGTTTGCGCACGCCTCCTCGGAGGTGAAGAGGTACTCGTGGTGCTTCGTTCCCAAGAACTCGGACATCATGCGAGCCGCGGTTACATCCGGAGAACCTTCTTGACCAACGGTAAAAGAGAGGTACTCCTGGCCACTCTTTTCCAAGAAGGGCTTGAGCACCGTCGACACGACAGCTGAATCCAACCCGCCGGAGAGGAGGAGTCCAATCGGTACGTCGGCCATGGTTTGGTCCAAGATGGCCTCCTCTAGGATGGCGCGGACGTGGGACGTGTCCTTCGTGCCGACGGCGTCATCAAAGTCCCATGCCGGGTTGTACCACTTCACGAAGCCGTCTTTCGGGGTCCAGTAGTAGCCGGCCGGGAATTCTTCGATGCGCTCGCACTTTTGATCGCAGATGGCCTTGAGCTCGGACGCAAACCACATGACACCGTTTTCACCGTAGCCAACGTACAACGGCTTGATACCAGCGTGATCACGAGCAGCGATCATATGATCGCCATCGTCACCGATCACGACGAAGCCGAAGATCCCATTGAGCTCCTTGACAAAGTCGCATCCAAGATGCTTATACAGCTGAAGCAACACCTCGGAGTCGCTCCCCGTCTTTGCAGCCGTCAAACCGTACTTGGCCTGGAGCTTACGGAAGTTATAAATTTCCCCGTTCGCGCACACGGCGTACGTCTTCGCGCCGTCTTCGTACACGATCGGCTGCTTCCCGCCCTCCGGATCCATGATCGCCAGCCGTTCGTGCGCGAGACCGTATCGCTTTGAGCCGAAGTACCCGGACCCGTCTGGCCCTCGCGTGCGCATGCGCGCGCTGAGCTCTCGCATGAGCTCCTCTCGCCCGCTCTCGAGAGCGGCGTTCGGGTCGTACATCGCGAGCACGGAGCACATTTGCGCCCCGCGAGCGCCCTGAGAGCGAAACATCGTCGCGAAGCCGTCAGTATCGTCGCTTCAAGTGATCCGTGTCGACAACCCGAGTTCGGGGGACTCTCCGTCGACGCACCTCGCGCTCGAGCCCAGCTTTGGCGCGAACGAGCGCGCCGTTCGCGACGACGTCTCGGGAACCCCTGATTGCGAGCGCGCGTCCGGTGACGGAGGAGCGGAGCGACGCGGAAGGGGCGCGTTTGGCACGATCGTCGCCGGAACGGCGGCGAAGCGTCGCGACGTTAACGAGCGCGGCGTTGGCGCGCATTATGCGTGCGTGCGAGACAGAGGAGAAACAACCGGCGTGCGGAGGCGGCGCTCGCGCGTCGACGCGCGGCGAGCAGTGCGGTCGACCGGGAGCGAGTGGGGAATCGGGAGCGCGAGTGACAGGGCGGCCGAAACGCGGACGGCGTAGGTGACGATCGACCGCGCGTGGGCGGCGCGAACGACGGAACGATAAAGACACAAATCGGATGGTTTCATAGGTTTGGCAATCAAATCACGAAGACGCGCGGGCGTTAGTCTTGGTCCTCGAACGGGCTCGGGTCCTCGGAGACGTCCGCGGCGGACGTCCCGGCCACGCCCTGGGCCGGCGCCGGGGGATCCGGCGGTGCGATGTTCATCAATTTCAGCATGTTCATCGCCCGCTTTTGCGCCTCGACGCGCTCCTCGGCGAGCTTCTCGAGCTTGGCGACCTGGTCGTCCCACTTCGCCTCTCTCGCCCTGGCGAGCTCGAGCTCGAACGACATCTCTTGCACCTGCAAGTTTTCGATAAAACTCTTCAGACACTCCGCCATGTCGTACGACGTGATCCCGTCGTTATACGCCTCCTCGAGTCTATCCACCAGCTTCCTCTCCTCGCGCACGTCGAACCCCATCATGTCGTCCATCGCTCGCTGCGCCGGCGACGCCCCGACGGTCAACAACGCCTGCGTCATCACCTGAATGATGCTCTGCATCACCGCCAGCGTCTCTTCGCTCTCTCCTCTCTTCTTACTCTCGCTAAACACCAGATACCCCGCGCCCAGAACCCCACTCGTGAGCTCCCCCGCGTTCGCGCTCGCCTTGACGTTCTCCACGAGTCCCTCCCACGACGCCGCGGCGCACACTTTATGAAACGTCTTCACGTCATCATCCGTGGGCTCGCTCGAGATCCCCCCCCGCGACGCCATCGCGGGGCGTCGACCGCGGCGCCGCGTCGACCGCGCGCGCGCGTCGCTTCGACGCACGACCACGCGTTCGCGTCGTCCGAGCCCGACCCGCATGCGCCGGCGCCGCGCGATGGGGGCACCGACATCGCCGACGCGCGTGGTCTTTTAGACCCTAGATGTTTTAGGGACGACGAGACGCTTCTTCAGGGACGATGAGACGCTTCGTAGGGACGATGAGACGCTTCGTATGGACGATGAGACGCTTCTTCAGGGAAAAAGAGACGCTTCGTAGGGACGATGAGACGCTTCTTAAGGAAAATGAGACTCTTTGTCGGGAACACGCGGTCGTCTCTGACGATGCCTCTCTCGCGTGCGCCGTCCCGTGCCGAATGTCCGAGCACGACGATCCCTCGACGACCCCGTGTGCGCACACATCGCGCGCACATCCCCAGAGTACGACGACGGCGACGCGCGCGTGATGTGGGATTTTTTCATAAACACACCCGCGACGTCGTACTCGGACGCGATCGACGCCGTCGCGATATCGAGGGTGAGACGATAAAGCGCGACCGGCGTCCTCGCCGACGGTTGCGCCCGACGCGCGCGCGCGAGTTCGCGCGTCGCGGGCGCGGCGACGGCGACGACGCGGGCGCGACGACGACGTGGGGTGCAAAAGAATATTGTGACCGCGCGGGGGGGGGCGCGGGGGCGGGCGCGGTGGAGAGGGACGCGGGGGTGGGGATCTGCGAACGCGCGGTGTCGGACGCGCGACGAGGGCGAGGGACGATGGGCGGTCGGAAGCGCGCGGAGACGGCGACGGGGAGGGGCGGAGCGGATGATGAGCGACCGGCGAGTAGTCGGCGACGGATCGCGGGCGAGGGGGGGGGGGAGACGGCGCCGAGGAGTTGTTGAAGGTGCGGCGAGGCGGAGCCACGCGCGGGGACGCGACGACGCGGCGTCTCGGGACGGAGTTCGTGCGACGCGCGCGGTCGATGCGGAGGTTTCGCGGACTCGAACGTTCGTTGAGATGTCGTGATTCGATGCGATCGCGGAAGGAGGAGAGAGACTGACGATCGAGCGACGCGAGCGCAGAGAATCGCCGAGTTGGCGCCCGGCGCCAGGGAAGCGGTGTTGAGTAGGTTGTTCGCGGAGTACTCGGGCTCGCCTGCGAACTCGCCGAGTCCGGGGAGGGTGCTCGACGCGATCGCGCCGGTGAGTGATGAGTCGGATCGAGCGGGGAAAACGTGGGATTGGCGCACAGATGCGTCGGAGTGGGAGCTAAAGTCTCTGACCACGGCGCTGGGTTTGCCGAGCGTGGGATCGCGCCTGGAGCTCGTGGCGGCGGTGCAGAAGCAGTTGAATGATTTAGCGGAGCCGGCCGAACAGCTCAGCGTGTCACTGAATAAGTTGGCGAGAATCATGAATAATAACGAGCGGACGCCGGCGCTGCGACTGGGGAGTGGTGACGATATCAGGTTAGCACGGGCGAAGGTGCTCACACTGATGGAGCTCGCGAGGGCGCAAGCCCAGCGAGTTCTAGATGTGGACCCGTTCAAGGCGATGCAGAGCCGCGAGCTCGGGCCGTGTGTGTTGGATTTAGCGTATCTTTACATGGATTTCGTACATGCGGCGTTCGACACGATGATGCCCTTGCTGCGCGCCGAGGCTGTCGGCGCTCTCGAGGCGGGAACGCACATGACGCAGCAGCTCAACCGCTGTATGTTTCTCATATTCAAAGTCATCGGCACGTCCACGAACGAGGGTAATCTGTATGATCCACGAAGAGCGGGGCGCTTTTTGATTGAACTGGGCAAACTCCGTCGAGCTTGGCGGATGAACTGTGGCTTCATTCAGAGTTTGAACGACAACTTCGAAGAAATCGTCAAGGGCTTGGACAACTCGATGGACGGTGATGATTCCGATGGTAATACCGGCGCCATCGACCCGGATCACATCATTCAGTTAACGCCGCTTGCTCTGACGGAGCTGCACGAGAGCTACCACGGTCCGCCGACGCACACATTGAGCACGTCAAGAGATGATACTAATTCAGGCTCGCCGGCGTCGTGGTCTGCTGTTTGGCAAGCGGTGAGTGGTGCGAGTTCACCGGCGAGGCACATCGTTCGTGATGCGTCAACAGGTGATGTGGATCAAGTCGTGCATATTCGTGACACCGACATGAGGGAGGTGAGAATGAGCGGTAGCGACGCTCCTCGCGGTTCGGATGGCGACGAAGGGACGTTTGATGACGCTGTTCCGCTGAACAACGCACTGGAAGCTTTTGATCAGGAGCGTCGACGCGACAACGTGAATGCGTCGTCGTCGTTAGCGAACTTTGCGCTGCGGGCGCGTCGTTTTGAAATGCTGCCCTTTCGACGAATGATGAACGCAAGTCACGATGCTCCCGGAACATTCGTGCCGTCAGCGTCCGCTACTGAGATTAGTCTTAGTCAGCTTCCGGGAGGGATCCCAGGAGTGGGTAATTCGGTTGCGAACCAAGTGGAGGAAGATATTCGTCCCACTCACTTGATGGAATGGATGCATCAGTCTAACCTGGATGCTCCGGCTGTTCGGGCGGCTGGAACTGATGATTCCGACATGGCGGCTGATCCTGCGGAGGCGCGCATGCACGCGTATCGTCTTGCATCCAGCACCCGAGTGCATGCCCGTCTGACTTTCACGGAGCGCGGTCACCCCGTGCGTGTGCCAGCGACGAGCGCTATCGCGCAGCCTGTGAGTCAAGCTCGTTTACGTGAGGCCACTAGCATCACGCGTCTCGTCACGAACCTTTCAACTCGACTTCGCTCGGTGTCGACGCCTTTACTCGACACTGGCAAGAGCAAGACGAAATCACCGAACACCATCAAGTTATTTGAACACATCGCGCGGTGGGAGTTACTCGGGTACTCTAACTCGAAGGAACTGTCACAGCTCGGATGCAGCAAACCGGTTCTTCTGTGCGAACGTCTCGCCAAGCAGTCCGCGATGGACGGTCGTTGGTGCGCCGTGTTGGGTCGTGCGCTGACTGTTCATTGCATGCCTATGCAGATATGCATCATGAATGGCCTTGTGAGCGAAGTCAATGGCGAGTTTCACGCACTGAATGCCCCTGCCTCCATGTTTTGTACCGCCGTGACGGTGGTCTTGCGCATGGTTCTGCAAGCGTATCTCGAGGGAGGTCAAGTTCCGAAGTTGCGTGCTGAGAATTGGTGGAAGACTTTGGCTCATCTTGGTGACGTGCTCATCTGTTGGGGCACAGGGGCGAATGGTATAAGTGCAACGTTTCCAAACAATGGTAACGCAGGTCGTCATGAGATGAGTGACGTGGTTTCACAAGCTATTCTTGCCGGGCTCTCCATGGAAGACAGCGAGTTCCCTCAGTACACTTTCGGCAAGCTGTTTGCGCTTGTGGCGCCGCAGCTTCTGCACGATTTGGCTGACGCTAACGTATCGCCAACGGTGGTTGATTCCGTAAGTGGGCTGTGTTTCATGTTTGCGCGCATCATATGCGACGCGGCTAAGGACGATGGTCGCTGGGTTGAGTCAATTGAGGTTTCACAAGCTACGCTTCCCGCTCAGCTGCGAAAAAGTCTCGCTGAGACTGCCGCATGGGCCAAGCAAGTCAGATCGACTGTTGAGAACGCTGGAACAGCGTGTGAAGGATACATGAACAAGACAGTGTACACTCCTAGCGACGAGCCCGTTGTTTCTGGCATGGAATTCCTTTCGAGAGCGAATGCGCGTAAGGGCGTTCGGCTCGGGGTACTCCTCGCTCTTTGTGCAGCCATCTCACAAGTCTCTGGCAAAAGAGTCAAGTCCAGCTCAAGTGTGGTTGTTCCGATAGATGACGAGGTCGAGGTGAAACAAGAAGACAAATGCCGAGAAAAGACGACGAAAACGACGAGAAGAATCACTCGCTCAGAGAATGTCGTGGATCTTGATCCTGTTGTTGCCGCTCTGAACGACTGTGTGAGCTCTCTCGCGTGCATCGCCACACCAATGGCCATATTAGGATGGGCGTTTGACGGCGGGAATAAAGGCATTCGAGGAGGATTGAACTTGTTAGGAAATTCGCGTTGGTTGAGCGAAACGCAAGGTGAATTTCCCGTGTACAGCCCGGTGCAGCAAATTGTTGACATGACTCAACTGCTTTTACACTGCTTTGCTGAGCTGCGACCGAGTGGTACGTCGGCATCCAACGCTGTGAACGCGTTGCTTACCGATCCGAAATGGCACAAGACGTTTTCAATGTTCCAAGCGGTTTCACCGAATATGTTCTATTTCGGAAGCTCTCTTGATTTGATCGGAGCGTCCGCGGATGTGTTCCCGCACGCGTTCAAAATATCCCGTCTCAGGAAAGATCTCAAACGCCATGCCGCTGAATTTCAGAATGCATCTTCCATCTCGATGGTTTTAGATCGAGCTTCACCGTGTCATTCCGCTTGGCGAGCGATCAATTCTTTATGTCGTCGAGCTCTCGTCGGAAGATCGTTGAACGCGTCGTTTGAAGGCGAAGACGGCCTGGGAGATGGCGTCAACCGCGAAGCACTACAAATCCTGGTCGACACTCTCGCTCGCGGCGCGCCGAACAAGCCAGGCGAGGCTGTTTTGTGCGACATGCCGTCCTATGGGCAAGGAACGAGCGGTTTTTTGACGCTTCGGCCCGACGCACCTCTTCCTGCGGCTATGTTTTTTGGCAAGGTGATTGGTCTGATCATCTCAAGTAACGTCAACGTCGTCCTGCCCTTGGCACCGTGGATTTGGAGCGCGCTCCTCGGTAAGAGGGGGACGTTATCACAACTTGCGGCCGTGGACGAAGAATTCGGTCGTACTCTAATGACGCTCAACACGCATTCCATCTCCCACCAGTCGAACAAGTGGGTGGCTATGTCTGAGTTGAATTTTGTGCGCACTGTGCGTTTGCCAAACGGAGCATTGTCCGAATTTGAGCTTGTGCCCGGAGGACGAGACATCGCTGTCACCGACGCCAATCGCAAGCAGTTCGTTCAAACGTACGCGTGGAGTTCGATGGAAATGGTGAATGGTGAGAGTATTGAGACGGTGGCGCAAGCCGCTCGAAAGGGCGTGTGTGACGTCATTCCCGCCGAGTTGTTGTCTTCTCTGTCGCCCGTCGATCTCGAACGTATGGTCTGCGGTCTGCCAAAGATCTCGATCGAATCGTGGAGGAAAGCAACAATATATGAACCCAAAGTGGCGAGCCCTGAAGAAGAGCGACGCGTCGAGTGGTTCTGGCAAGCCATTGAAAGTTTTTCATCCTCCGATCAAGCGTTACTGTTGCACTTTTGGGCGGCGTATACGCATCTTCCGCACAGCGGATTCGAAGGTCTCAACTTCAAGGTTCGATTCGATGATAAACTATCCACGGATCACCTCCCGATGGCTCAGACGTGCTTCTTGACGCTCCGAATTCCCAAATACGTGAGCGCCGAGCAGTTTTCGATGCGACTCCTGCACGCAGTGCGCACCGGATCGAGCGGTTTCGGCTTCGCCTGAGCCCGTACCAACAGTAGTACCAAGACACATCACGGTACATGTTTGTTTTTTACATGTTTTTTTCATTCTTTTACCACCACCAGTCACCGTGCACGCTCGTCTACGAACGTTTCTCTTTCTCACGCGCGTCCGCTGTTCGAATCTCTGCGTCGACAGCTCCGCCACGCGCACGCCCACCGTCCACACACGCCGTCGCGGTGTCCTTAGCGCCACCGCGACGTCGCATCATCCGAGCGACAAACGTCTCGAACGCCATGACCGACCAACCGCTCACGCTCGCGCAGCAGTTCGAGCGCTACGTCTCGCACAAACACGCTGAAGAGTTGACGACGATTGTCCTCGCGAGCGATCCTCGAGCGCCGTACGCGATCGATCTCGATGCCATGGAGCTCTTCGCTACGATTCCGATGTTCGGTAACGCGTTCCTACATCGACCACTGTCGATGCTGCCGGCGATGGAGGACGCGATGCGGTCGGCGCAGGAGGAAATCGTTCGAACGGAGTGCGGGCGGGCGGAGCGCGGAGACGGAGACGCGATGGAGCGGGCAAAGCGGATGACGGTGAAGGAGATCGTTCGCGCGCGCGTGGATGCGCATAGGTTCTGCGAGACGTTTCCAGAGCTCGCGCCCGGGATCGGGAGCGTGCGGACGCGGCACGTAAATAAGTTGTGGTGCGTCGAGGGCGTGGCGGTGAGAGTCGGTTCGGCGAAATCGTTGGAGGCGGAAAACGTGTTTGAGTGCGTGAAGTGCGGGCACCAGTTTTTGATCCCAGTGAACGTCGAGGAGGGTAGTGGAGGGGAGCCTCCGCCCGCGTGTCCTCGAACGAAGCCGTGCAAGGGGAAGTCTTTTCGAGCGGTTCCAGTTCCGCCCACGCGAAGGATGATACGCGATTATCAAGAGGTTCGCATTCAGGAGCCGGTGGGAGGACCGGCGGGTGGAAGCGCGCGTGCGGCGCCGCGTGCGCTCCTCGTTGTCTTAGAGGATGATCTAGTTGACAAAGTACGAGCGGGTGATGACGTGAAGATGTCCATAGTCGTTCGAAGGAGATGGCACAAGTGCTCTCGCGAGCAGAGATGTGAGGTCGAGCTCGTGGGTCACTGCGTCAGTCTGCACGTCGCTCAAAAGCAAAAGACGATCGAACGAGTCGTCGACGAGGAGGCAAAATCGGGTTTTGAGTCATTCTGGCGTGAGCACGCGGCAAGGCCGTTTTACGCGCGAGACATGATCTTACGAGCGATGTGTCCTCAGCTCTTCGGAATGGCGATGCCGAAACTCGCGCTCATGTTGGCACTCATTGGAGGCGTTCCTCGTCGTGACTCGAGTGGAGGACGCGTGCGCGGGGAATCTCACATTCTACTTATCGGCGATCCCGGCATGGGCAAGTCGCAGCTGTTGAAGTACGCCGCAGCGGTGGCTCCGAGGGCCATTTTGACAACGGGGATGGGCTCGAGCTCGGCGGGACTCACCGTAGCGGCGACAAAGGAGTCAGGGGAGTGGGCTTTAGAGGCCGGTGCTTTGGTGTTAGCTGATGGCGGTGTGTGTTGCATAGATGAGTTCGATTCGATCAGAGAGGCGGAGCGGGCGACGATTCACGAGGCGATGGAGCAGCAGACGCTCAGTGTGGCCAAGGCTGGTATGGTGACGACTCTTCGCACGCGAACGACAGTCATTGGCGCCACAAATCCCAAGGGTGGACAATTTGATATGGGGTCTAGCGTCGCGGTGAACACGGGTTTAGCTCCACCATTGTTGAGTCGCTTCGATTGTCTGATAGTTCTCAGGGATGATCGAAAACCTTCATGGGACAGAGAAGTGAGCGCGCACATTTTGGAATCGCACTCTCGACTGGGCATCATCGAAGACGATTTGCCGCCCGCAACGCAAAGCTCCGCTGGACGTGCACGCTCGTCTCTTTCATCCGCTGGGGGTCTTCCCGGAAGCTCCCAGCTTTCGGATGGCGCGAGATGGGGTCGCGCACTCGCTAAATGGGGCGCCGATCCCGAGGTTCCTGCGACTCCAGCCGCGGAGAAGGAGATTCCTTCGTACGTGACGGAAAAGCGAAGGCATATACAGGACGCGAGTCTAGCCGCGTGGCCCTTCGAACGACTTCGAAGTTACATCGCTCACGTGAAGAGTACGCTTCAACCCCAGCTCACAAAGGAGGCCGAACGCTTGCTCACGGCGTACTACCAGGCGCAGAGGCGACTGGAAGGGCGCAGCGTCGCCAGAACGACGATTCGCATGCTCGAATCGCTAATCCGTCTCACGCAAGCTCACGCGCGATTAATGCAGAGAGACACGGCAAACAGACTCGATGCAACGGTCGCGGTATGTTTGGTGGAGATGTCCATGCTCTCACTCGTGCCGTTCATCCAGCTGCCGCCATCAAACGCCGGGTTTGAAGACGATCCCGACGCGAGCATTCGCGGCGTCGAGGCGCGGCTTCTTCGGCGACTCGACGAAGAGCTGGGAACGGATTGGCGAGAAGGTTCAGGCAGTAAGCGGCAGCGTCAAGATGACGACGATGTGGACGAGGAGGAAAACGATTTCAGACGAGGAAATGTTTAATGAATGATGTAACAGAAGCGACGCTTCGACAATGAATTGCAACTTGTTCTCTAAGGAGTCTGATGCGATTTTAACCACTCACTTCTTTTTCGGGTTTAGCTTCGAACCCTTGCTTACATTCTTCTCCAAACGCTTTGTATCAGCCTCACGTTTCTTTTTCGATTCCGGCGACATGGCCTCGGCAATCGCGGCGAACGGACTCTGCTGCTTCACTGCCTGGAAAGGCCGCTTTAACGCCGGATTATGCTTCTCATCGCGCCCGAGCATGTGCATCTGCCATAGATTCCCATCCCAAAGGTTCAAAGGAAGCATGATCGACTGTAACAGCAGCGGCGGGCCGACCTTGAACCCGAAGTGCATCCCACAAGCCATGACGCCGCTCATGATGATTCCCGCGAGCACCTTTCTGAACTCTTGAACGTCGTGTTCGTACAGCGTCACCTTCTCCGCCTTCTCAACCCCGGTCTGCATGTCCTTTACCTTAACCTCCACCTGATCTTCATCAAGCTTCTTTTTACGCCTCTTCATCGTCAACCACAACGCCGCCAACGCGAGCGACAGCACCGTCATGGAGAAGACGAAGCCCATGCGAATCTTCATCACGTGCTCCGGGTTCTTAAAATCAATCCCGAGTCTCTTACTCCCCATCAGCAACACCGGGGAGATGAACATCTTCGGCGACAACATCGGCTGCTGCGGCGCCGCCGCCGTCGCCGCCGTCGCGTCCTCGGTCGTCGTCTTCACCGCCGTCCCCGCGCCGCCCTCGATCGTCTTCTCTCGCCCATTCTTCCCCGCGTCCGCCGCCGCGCGCGCGCGCCCATCGCTCGCGTTCGAGATCTCTTCAACCTTCGCCATCGCTCCGACCGCGCGCGCCCGCGTCGGCGTCGACGTGTGCGCCACGCGCGCGGTCGCGCGATCGCACGCCCGGTCGACACATCGCATCGATCGTCTCCCGGACCCTCGTCCACGGCGGTCGCCGTGACGTGGACGACGCCCGCGCGCGCGATCGCACACGGGCTTCACGGACGCTCGACTACGGGCGCGCACGCGACGCGCGGTGGGATAAACGTCGCGTGGATGCAAAAAATATCATAAAAAGTGCGTCGCCGCGAACGGGCACGCGGACGAGTGCGCACTCGTGTGTACCCCCCCCCGATCGCGCGACACCGCGTCGCGACGGGCGTCGCCGCGACCGGCGACGCCGCGACCGGCGACGGCATCGAGCGACGCGGTGTCGCGCGACGGCACGCGCGCGGGCGCGACGACACGCGCGCGGGTTCGGGAGTTTTATTCGCGTCGATCGCGCGCGGTCGGGGCGGTGCGCGGCGGTCGCGCGCGAGCGGTGGGTGGATAATCGCGTGATCCGCGGTCGCGCGCGTCCCGACGCGTCGGTGCCGCGATCGTACGCGTGGGGCGATGCCGGCGACGATTCCCACGGCGAAAACGCGCGAGAAGCATCGAGTGGGGGAGGGTGCGGATGGTTTAAACGCCTCGGGTGAGCGAGGGATGGACGAGGACGCGCGTGCGCGGGGGGGGAAGGTGGTTGGACAGCGAAGAGGCGATGATGACTCGGCACGGTGGATGTCCAAGCTCGACGACGAAAGAGCGATCTTGGGAGTCGAGGACGTGGAGATGCGACGTTCGAGGGCGTCGGCGAGTGGAGAGATGGATGCGTTAGAGTCGGAGTTGGAGCGATCGGCGAGGATATCGACCACGTCAAGCGCGGCGGAGGAGGGACTTTGGGAGGAGAAGCCCGGGAAGTTGGTGCCGGCGGGTAAAGGCGCGGAGTCGTCGGGCGATCGACGTGGGAACGTGAGCGGGATGCGATCTGGAATGCGAGCAGTCGCTACGGGAAATAATGCGGGAGATGTGAAGCGTGGCGAGAACGTGCGCCGCGGCGCCGTCGCGGAAGCATTGGCGCGTGACGCTCCGCGGCAGCCAGCTGGCCCGCCGCCGCCGCGAAACCTTCCGTCGACGCTCATGGGGACGGAGCATCAGCTCTCGCAAGCGCATCAGCAGTACATGATGAACATGCAAATGTCCGCCATGCATCAGGGACAGATGGGTGCACCGATTCAGCCAGAATCGCCCATGTCGCCCATGTCAATGCCGGCAGTGTGGACCAACGACGATCCGTCTCGGACGGTTTATCTCGTTCTGGTCGACGCGTCCATGAACGACCAGATGTTGTGGTCGATCGCCTCGCAGTTCGGAGATATTCGTTCAATCGCGAACGAGCTGCGACGAACGATGAACACCGTGTTCGTGTCTTACTACGATATTCGAGCCGCCGAGCTCGCAAAGTTGACGCTACAAATGTCCACGCACATATTCCACATGGTGGCCTACTCCGGGGCGTGTGATTGGATCCCTGGGATGGAGAACCAAGGCCGCTTCCTGGCGTACGATATCGGCACGGCCGAAGAAGAGCGCGACGCGGAGTTTCGAGCGTTGTTGGATTCGTTTGGTGAGGTCAAGCGGTTGATGACGCCAAGGGGCCACGAAAATCATAGATTCATAGAGTACTTTGACGTGAGGCACGCGCACACGGCGGTGACAGAACTGCAGCAGAGCGGGTTCAGGAGTAAGCCCCTTTCAGTGGACTTTCACTCGCAGTCTTACGCTGCGGACTTCCACCAGCAACACGCGTTCTCTCCGCCCTCGCCGTCCTCCATACATCAGTACATGGGGCAGGCCGCGATGATGGCAAACATGTACTGGCCATACGGCGGTCCGGTCACGACGATGCCCATGGTTGGCGCGCAAGGGTATGGTGGTTATCAAGGATGGTCGCCGGATCAGCAGCACTACGGTTACCCTGTACAGAGTGCGAGTGGCCACGGTTACCCTGTACAAAGTGCGAGTGGCCACGGCGGGCATCGCTCGCCCCGTTCAAGCGGCGAGTATTCGCGATCGCCGCGAACGAGTGAAAGTATGGGCCGATCTAGATCGAGTCACAATAGTACTTTAGAGGCGTTTCAGAGGACGAATCCGGAAGAGTTCATCTTCAGTATGGAAGAAGCGAACGAGGCGGGGACGAAGGATAATCCAGAGCACGGAAGGACCACGCTCATGATTCGCAACATCCCGAACAAGTACAATCAAGCTATGCTGTTGGATCTCCTCAATCGATCTTACGAGAACCAGTACGACTTCTTCTACTTGCCCATAGACTTCAAAAACAAATGCAACTTGGGCTACGCTTTTGTGAACTTCAAGTGCGCCAAGACGACGGCGGCATTTTATAAGGAGTTCCACAAGCAGCGCTGGGAAGAATTCAACTCCCGGAAAGTGTGCGAGATCACTTACGCTCGGGTCCAAGGCAAGGAGGCCATGGTTGAGCACTTCAAGAACAGTCGATTTCCGTGTGAGAACGAAGAGTTCTTGCCGCTGGTCTTCGATACCGACGGGAACAAAACTAGCTACCATACTTTAGGACACACCGTACATGGAGCGACTGGAAGGTTTCCAGACACGGCGAGCGAGAACGTAACCGACAGTGTTTAAGAGTTTACAGCGTGGAAAAAACTCTCGTGAGACGAACACAAGCGAAAAGCCAAACGCAGCGGCAATAATAAGATGGCTCTACAACAACTTAATAATTGTAACGCAAGAGGTTTACGTAATTCACAGACGACGAAGCTCCTTCCGCCATGACGAGATCTCGTCATCCGACCGTTTAAGCTCTTCGCGAAGGATCGTTCTGACTTTATCCCACGCAGCAAGCTGAGCCTCCACCTCCGTGCGCTCTATTTTCTTCGTCATCCTCTTCACTTCCCGTCCCTTCGCATCGACGGCCAAAGCGGCGAATGGATCGGTCCTAGATCTTCGCTTCAGATCGTTGAACTTCTTTGTGAGCTCCTGCAACGCCTCGATATCGGCAACCATCGACTCCGCCATTTCCGGCGTATACTCCGCGTTCAATATATGCGGGAAAATCATGTTGACTACGTTTTTGCCCAACATGTCCGCGTCGAGTGTCCCCGGTTCGCCCAGCCAAGACTCGGGATCGATATCCGTTAGTCTGATTCTATTCTCCTCGGTTCGCGTCAAGAGTAGCTCACCCGCTTTTCTGTCTCTTTCGCTCGACGTGGGTGCATTTGCATCAGCGACCACGACTTTATCGACCTCAGCCTCCTTTTGCACGAAGCTAGCTGATTCTGCCAGCATCGCAGGCCAGGCGTCTGATGACTCCGCCAATGACTCGGACGACGACTCGGTAGACGACTCCGAGGCCGATTCCGGCTTGGCTTTCTCTGCGTCGCCCGCGACGGCGCGAGCCTCCTCTTCGATGACGTTTTGCGTGTCTTTTTCAACTGAGGACCCTTCGAGCAATGCCGCAACCTCTCGACCGCGCGTACTAGCGAGGCGACACACGTGGTCGAACGAACCAGTCGAGTCCCACCGACGCATCATGCTCTCCAACGTCTGCGAAACTCGAGCTGCTGATGGACGATCCGCCGGGATAGTTTCGAACATCAACTTCAACAGCGCTTTTAAAGCAATCGACGTGGTTTCTTTTGGGATGAGACGCGAACCGTTGTCGACGACCTCCTCGATGATTCGCGCCCGCGTGGGCGAGCCTTCGTTCATCCAGGGGATTCGCCACTCCAAACACTCCCACATCACGACGCCGAGCGCGTACACGTCTGATTTATCACCTCCGAAACCCGCCAGATCTTCGCCGACCATCGGTGGACTGAGCATCTCGGGTGCCATCCAGAGCATTGTCCCGACCGGCTGCCATCCTTTACCCAGCCCGAGCGCGCGCTCGATCGTTCCTCGTTTTGGCCGTCGCGGCATTTTGCTCACCGGAGCCGCGCTTCCAAAATCGCACAACTTTGCCTGTATGCGACCTAGCTCATCCGACCACGTGAGTAAAATGTTCGACGTCTTTATGTCTCTGTGCGCAAATCCAGCGGTGTGGAGATACGTCAGGGCGTCCGCGATGTCCCTCACAAGGGTGGGAAAATCGAGCAGAGGCATGTCGTCGGGTATCATCGCGACCTCGCCGCCGTCGAAACGGCTCGCCTTGATTTCTTTCGCTCTCAGCGCGTTCCACAGGTTACCGCTCGTACAAAATTCCGTCACCATGTACGGTTGTGGGCTGTCGTCGTAAAAGTGCGCCTTGACGATCCCCGGATGACTCACCCTCGTCAACAGCTTGGCCTCGCGCTCAAAGTCTCGCCGCGTGCTCACCGTGTTCGCCGCGGCGCTCAAAACCTTCACCGCGTGCACCGTCCCAGCCCCACCCCGCCACGCATCGTCTCCATCCCCACCCCCCACGCTCGTCGCCTTGTACACCACCGCGAACGCGCCCTGATCGACGCGTTCGCCGAGCGTCAACCCGCGCGCGCGAAGCGCCCGCGCGATCCCCCCCTCATCCACGTCAACCACCTCCGACGCCGCCACCCCCCCCCCCCGCGACGCCGCCACTCCCCCCCTAGTACCCCCCCCGCGCCGCGCCCATCGACGCCCGACCCACGCGCGCGTCGACGCCGCGTCCGCGCCGCGCCGCGCGCCCGCCTCCATCGTCCACCGTCGCGCCCGCCCCCGTCGCGCTCACGCCCCGGACGCGCGCCACACGACGCCTCGCCCACGTCCGAGACGCCCGCGCGCGCGCGACGCGACGCGCGCGCGCGGACGTCGAGACGCGTCGCGTCCGAGCGCGCGGCGATGAATGCGTCGCACGCGCGCGCGCGCGTTCGGGACACCCTAAACCCTAAACCCTATCATCGACGCACCCAAAAATGCCCACGGTCGGTCGCCCCCTCGAGCACCCCGCGCGAGATCCCTTCGATGTGTCCACGTGATGGCGTGCGCACGTCTTCAATACGCGCGTCCGTCGCGTCGACGAGGATATCCCACGCGAGGCGTCGTCGCGCGGCACTCGCGCGCGCGTCGAGCGACGATGGGCGACGCCGCGACGGCGAGCGACGCCGCCGCGGGGTCGAAGATCTTCGTCGGTGGACTCGATCGAACCGTGGATGAGGGTGCGTTCGACGCGCGGGCGATCGCGACGTGGGGGGGGGGGACCACGGTCGATCCATCGCGTGCGACGCCGGATGCGCGGGCGCGTCGCCGGAGATGATGATCTTGGTGTGCGCGCGGACTGACGACGCGAACGATGGGTTTGACGACGCGCAGGCGTGGTGCGGAATTTTTTCTCGCAGTTTGGCCCGGTGGTCGAGGTGCGTGCGCGTCGCGCGCGACGGCGCGCGCGGCGACGGTCGCGTCGTGGGCGTAGGGTTTTCGGGATGCGACGGAAGATTCTCGAGTCACGAGTCGACGATTGCGCGGCGACTGACCGCGAGGCGCGCGCGTTCGGGGACAGGTGCTCGTCATGCGAGACCCGCATAACCATCAAAGCCGCGGCTTTGGATTCATCACGTTCCAACGGGACGACAGCGCGAAGGCGGTTTTGCAAAACCGGTACCACGACATGCTCGGGAAGCGCGTCGAGGTGAAGAGCGCGGTGCCGCGCGGACAGGCGCCGCCGCCGCAACGCGGACCGCCGAGGAGCTCTCAAGGGTACGGTTACGGCCAGCCTAGAGGCGGTGCCGGTGCTCCAGGTGGACCGGGATACGGCTACGCCGGTGGTCAACAATACGGTGCCCCACAGGCTGCCGGTGCGCCGGGATCCTACGACGGTGCGAACCCGTGGGGAGTGAACGCTCTCAGCGGCGACGCCGCCGGCGGTCAAAAGCCGGGCTACGGTTACGCCGGCGACGGCCCCACGGGCGCCTCCGGCGCCGCCAACGCACCGAGCCATGGCTGGACCGAGCACACCGCGCCTGAAGGGTACGTGTACTATTACAACAGCAGAACCGGCGTGAGCCAGTGGGAACGTCCCATGGAGCTCGACTTCCCGAAGTGACCCCCAAGGGTGCCTTGAGAGGTGTTGGTTTGAGGTCCGAGAGCAGTCGATCGCGCCAATGGCGAGCGGCGAGCGGCGAGCGTCCAATTCGACGCTCATCGTTCGTCCACGATGGACGCTTTCGGTACCGTATAACGAAGATCTAGCCGAAGATAGATCTAGCGAGTAGGCTCACGCTTAGCCAGCGTCGAGTTAGGCCCCGTAGCGCACATAGTACACGGTGCACACGAGTGGCGACCGACAAGCGACGCTCGCTCGGACTACACCACCGTTCGAGCGCGTCCACCGGAAACCATCTCTTGTTCAAGTTTCTAGAGAATGACTATAGAATTTACAGCACGTTTTGATCGCCGTCCCATCCGCCCCGCCCCGCCCTCTCGACGCTGACAGGGTGTCCCACCGTTCACTTTTTCATCGTGACGCTCGAACGTCACGCGCACTTCACCGCGCGCGTATTCGCGGCCAACGCGCGGCGCACGCAGTGCACTGCGACACGCGCGATGTTCACCCTGGCCCAGCCGCGCTGCGCGCACACCGCACGCGCGCCGCGCGCGGTCTTGACGACGTCGCGCGCTCGACGGTTGGACGCCCGCTCGATTCGACCCCCCCTCGCTCGCCGCGTCGCGGCGCGAGCGATGCCGGAAGACGCTCGAGAGATGGACGGTAAGAGACGCGCGGATGTCTCGGCGAAGTCTGTGAGCGGTGAAGCGGACGCGGTGTCGGCGGAGGGAGGTAATATTCTCGCCGCGCGCGCAGAGGCGTTGGCGCTGACGGCGCTCGAGTGGGGGCGCGCGGCCTGGCCCACGTTCACGCTCGTGGCCTCGTTCGGGGGGTGGTACTACTTCTCTATCGCGTTTAACATCTATCAGAAGGCTCTGCTGAAGGCGGTGCCGATGCCGTGGACGGTGACGGCGTTGGAGCTGTTGATTGGGAGCGCGCTCGTGGCGGCCACCTGGGGGGTCCGTCTCAAGCGGGCGCCCGAGTGCACGTCAGACATGATCAAGGCGGTCGGTGTTCTCGGTACGGTGCACTTTCTCGGGAACGCGCTGACGAATGTGTCGCTCGGCAAGGTGGCGGTGTCGTTCACGCACACTGTCAAGGCGCTCGAACCGGTCTTCTCTGTCGGCTTATCCGCAGCGTTTCTGGGGGCCATCCCGAGCCTGGCACTGTGCGCGTCGCTCATCCCCATCATCGCCGGTGTCATGATCGCCAGCGCGACCGAGGTGAGCTTTAATATGGCTGGATTTCTGTCTGCCATGGGGTCGAACCTCACGTTTCAATCCCGTAACGTACTGAGCAAGATGTTCATGAAAGGTGACGAGATGAAGAAGCTCGACTACTACAATCTTCTCGGAGTGCTCACGATCGCCTCAACGGTGATCGCGATCCCGGTCGCCCTGGCGACGGAGTTTTCGAAGATGACGCTCGCGAATGTCACCGCGGGTGGGATGCCGATTCAAACCGTTGGGTTCAACCTCGTCATGGCAGCTCTCTGTTTCCAACTGTATCAACAGCTCTCATTCAGCGTGCTCGAGCGAGTCAACCCGGTGACGCACTCCGTTGGTAACTCTCTCAAGCGCGTCATCGTTATCGCGGCGTCGGTGCTCATTTTCCGCAATCCGGTGAGCGCGACGAACATCGGCGGCACCGCGCTGGCTATCTTTGGCGTCATCCTCTACGGCCAAGTCAAGCAACGTGAGGGTGCCAAGAAGTCGGCTTAGAAGTCAGTCGTCTCCGGCCGCCGTCTCCCTGTCTGTCCTTTTACTTTACCATTTCTTCACGCACTGGAAGGTGGCGCGTGACGATGTTCGCATTCGGCCGAACCGTCGCGCGAGCTGTACTCTACCCGCACCGCATGTGGCTTCCATAATACTGTTGTCTTGTGGTGAAAATGCCTTCTCGCATTGTGCCAAGCTTTCCCCACGTCTCGCGTCTCCACAACTACCCGCCCTCGCTCACCGCCCGCCCGTGTCGTTCGCGCTGCGACGCTTCCACACGTAACCATCCTTAAAGCCGTTACACGTCGCGAACAGAGCTCTGGGGCGCCCGCGAACGCGTCACCGAGTGAAGAAGATGTTGCCAAGCTGCAACCCATGGTGATGAAGGCGTTGAAGAAGCGCTATTCGTTACGCGAAGACGATGATCGAAGCGAACGACACTCGGTATATTAGTGCCTAACAATGTCGAAATTATATTTATGATTACTAATTGATGCGAGATGTGACGTCAGCCGGCGATCAGTCGAAAAGTTGCTCCGCGGTGGCGTAACGCGCGTACAGGAGCGCGCCGCCAACGCAAAAGTACGCGGGCGTCCTGAACGCGGCCTCCCAAGGACTTGGCGCGGTGTCGAGCATTAAGCCGGTGAGCCAAGGGCCGATCATCCCTGCCATGGCACCGCAACCGTTGCTCATGCCCATGAGCACGCCGGCGAGACGCGGGGCGATGTCCATGTGGTTCACAGCGTATCCGGCGCGCGAAATCGCGAGCGCGCCGAGAGCGAAGGAGCTCACGAGCGCGGCGGACAAGATGTTCGAACACTTTGGTAGCACCCAGAGTGCGATCGCGCCGACGGTGAAACCGACGCCGTTGAGAGCTTTTCGAACGTACGTCCTCGAGTACTGCTTCGATCCCATGAACTTATCCGCCAAAATCCCACCCAGGTTCGAGCACGTGCCCATGACCAGGTACGGGATCATTTTCAGCAACGTGTACGAACCGGCGTCTAAACCAAGTTTTTGTTCGTAAAAGGTTGGCATCCACGACATCAATATGAAGAAGGCATAGTGAAACGTAAAGTTGTTAAGCATAATCACCAACACCGCCGGCGAGGACATTAAATTACCCCACGGCGTCCCCCGCGCCCGTCGCACCCCGGTCGCCCCAGGGAGTACCCCCTCCTCCACTGCTACAGCCCTCGTCAGCTTCCCGTCCTCGTTTACCGCGTTCCAAACCAATAGCCACACGAACGCCGCGCACCCGGTCGCCGTCGTCGCCAAACGCGCGCCGCCGATTTCCATCGCCATCGGCACCACCACCATCGCGAACGCGCTCCCAAAGTACATTCCGCTCGTCATAAAGCTCACAGCTCGGTTCCTTTCCTCCAACGGAACCGCTCTCGCTAGCATTGAGTGCATCGACGGAAACACCGTCCCCATCGCGCACCCGACCGCGAACCGACACGTCCACATCGCCCACGTCTTCCCTCCGTCGCTCGGCGTGAGCGCGCTGAACACACCCCAGAACGCGAACGCTATTTTGAGCACGCGATCGCCGCCGTATTTCGTCGCAAGGGCTCCGCCCGGGACCTGCGTTGCGGCGTAGCCATTATAAAACGCTGAGTGCACCGACCCTTGGATAGTTTTAGGGATCCAAGCGTCGCGCGCGAGGGCGGTGTAGACGATGGGAAAGCCCACGCGGTCGAGATAACACGCGAAGGCGGCGGCGAAGGTGAGGATGACGAGGTAGGGGGGTGGCCGAGTCATGGTTTGAAGATATGCCGAGCGAGGCGGCTAGTTCAAGCGACGCGGCGACGAAATCGGTGGGCTAAGACGTGTGATGACGCTGCATCGAGCTAGATGGCTAATTTACTAATGAGTTCGGCGTGCGTCGCGGCGTCGCGCTCGATGGAGCTGGATCGAGCGATGGTGTCTTCGCAGGAGCCGGCGACGCGCGATACCAAATCGACGAGCCGCGCAGTTCCCTCACGCGCCGGCTTCGGCGAGAGCGAATCCAGGGCGAGCCGAAATAGATCAAATTCGAGTCGAAGATGCCGCATCACAGGTCGAAACGCGAGGAGATGTTCCGCAAAGTCGCGACGAACTGCGTCAACGAGTCTCAGTATGATGGCTTGAGCGAGCTCGAGAGCGACTCTCGGAGTCTCCCGCATGGCCGCCTCGTGCGCGCGCGCGATCGCGGAGATGACATCGATGCACTCTCGTCGTGAATCGATCACGCTCGAGTCCGCGGGTGCCCTCAACCACTTCTGACTTAGCGCAACGAGCTCGTTCACTGTAGCGTCAACAAACTCCGTGCGCAGTGCATCTACAGACCTCTTTGATGCGTCGACGAACGCCATGCGTACGATCGGATCGCCCACATGGACAATGTCGATCATGGCCGATTCGCAAAGAGCGTCGAACTCGTCTCTTAAATCCATAGCGAATCGCAGGTCACGAAGAACTTCTCGGCGTTCCGTAATCAAGAGTGACGAAGCCGATGCGTAAAACGCGTCTACTAGCGTTGACAAGTCGCGCGATCCCGACTTTATCATCTGATGCGTCAAGGATTTATGCTGCCAATATCTCGCCGCGATTTCAAAGACGGCGCGAGCGTCATCTCGGAAGAAGCCTCGTACGACTTTGACATGATGGTCTCCATCAACGATGTTTTGACTCGCTATCTTGAGAGCTTGCTCCAAGTGCACGCGTATGCTGACACTACATCGCATGTGTTGCTGAAACATCGCTTCAAATGCGCACGGTTTCAGCTCAAGTCGCGTGTGAAGCACATCGTACGTGCGTGATAGCGACAAGCCAATGCGAGTCATCTTTGAGCATTTTTCAAGCAACCGGTCAAATCGACGCGTTGAGCGCGACTCAGAAGCGATGGTGCGCGTGTTCAGCGCCGCGTCGAACCTTGATTTGACTATATTCACGTATGCGAGCTGAATTTTGTCCAATGCGTGACGCTCGCGAGGTGATCTCGTAGCTCCCGTAAGCTCAGCGAATCGCCACGCGCGCATGAAGTTTGCGCGGCACGCTCTACCCAACACTTCTACGTCGTCGTCTTCGATCGTTGACTCTACGTTGGCGAGATCTTCACACGCCCACTCCACTAGCCGGTCTACGTACACCATCGGCGCGTCTCCGACGTAGGTCTCGCTCGTCGACACGCCGAGAGTCTGCAGAGCTATAACTGTTTGCTCTGCCTCATCGTCGTTCAACTCCCCCACGTACAGGCGCTCGAATAGATGCTCGGCCGCACTCGAGAAAGCGTTCTCAACATCATCGAGAACCGCTCGCAAAACCGCTGAATCCTTCGCCGAGCCCTCGAGTGCCGCCGTAGCTCGTCCGCGCTCGTCCGCCGCGTTCTCGTATTCGCCCCGCGCCAACGCCTCGCGAACCACCCCTGGGATCCCAAACACGTCCCTCCGCCGCTCTAGCGTCTCCAAAGCTCGCTCAAGTTTCCCACGTCGTTCCTCGAGCTCGAAAACCTCTCGCAGTCCATCCCTGGCGAGTCGCGAAGCGCGCTCGCATCGCGCCTCCAACTCGCGCGCCGCGCCGAATCCATCCTCCCCCTCCTCTCTCGCCCGCACGAGCGCCTCGCGCGCGTCCGCCGCCGCATCCACCCCCGCGAGATACGCCGGCAAGCACTCCGCCGCGAGCATCTTTCGTCTCGAGTCATCCGCCTCGGCGCCGCGCCTCGCGCGCTCCGCCGCGTCCCGCAGCCCTTCGATCGTCGCTTCCCCGTGTTCCGTCGCCATCAATCGCTGCGCGTCCTCCGTCGTCATCAACCGCGCGTCTTCCTGCATCGCGTTCGCCTTCACGACGTCTCCGTCGTTCGCATCGAGCGTTTTCGTACGCGTTTCAGAATCATCCTTCAACGACCGTCGCGTCTCGACGCCCTCTCGTCGCCGTCGACGACTCGCGATCGCCCGCGCGTCGACGCCGATCCGCGCGCGATCGACGTCGCGCCAGGACGACGGCATCGCGCGAGCGCCGACGCGCGCGCGCGCGCGCGAGCGCCGCGAAGTGTGCATTCGATGCGCGCTCGAGGTGCGCACGCCGCGCGATCGCGGCACGCGTCGACGCGCGACGCGCGCGATCGAACGCGCGACGGCGCGACGGCGCGACGGACGATGTCGTCCGACGTCCACGCGCGTCCGATCGTCGTCGAGGACGCGGTGGAGGCTGAAACGCACGACGAATCGACGGAGAAGAAACACACGATGCGCGAGGCGAACGACGACGACGACGCGTCGACGCGCGCGAACGGGGAAGCGCAGACGCAGAGGGGCGGAGAAACAGGTGTGACGTCGTCGAAGGCGTCGCGGACGCGGGAGGCTATCGAGAGAAGGTTCAAGACGACCTGGGGCGCGGTGCCGCTCCTGCGGGCGACGCGCGCGAACGCGAGCGCGCAGGCGGCGGACGACGAGGTGGAGGAGGCGATGCGGCGGGCGATGGGGAACGAATCGAGCGTGCCGATGCCTGGTGGGGGTAGTGCGCGGAGTGAAGATTCGAGCTCGGGTCTCAGTGGCGCTCGAGGGCGAGGATCCGAGCTCGCGCGAGAGCACTGGGACGAGTTGAGAGCGCTGGAGCGGCAGTTGAGTAACGCGCGAGCGGCGTTCTCGAGCGAAGACGATGACGGTTTCGGCTACGCCCGGGATTTTGAGGTCTTGAGGGAATGGAACGGGAACGTCCTGGAGCTCGCGGCGCCGAAACCGACGCTTAAGAATCCCACGGATGGGTTGACGGAGACGCAGTATAAGAAGCTACTCGGGACGTCGCAGTGGATCCGAGGCGTGCTCGAGGGGGCGACTCGGATATTTTTACTCAGCGTCGAGGCGATGCCGACGCCGTCGGTATGGCAGGCGTCCGTAGAACTGAATGCAAAGGAGATTATAGGGGCGAGATTGTACGGTGAGCTCAACGTGGGAAACGCGTTTAACGCCGAGGCGTTGGCGGATCGCGAGGCGTTTGGGGGAACGGACTCAATCGAAGACGACGCGGTCAAGGGGAACGTCGAGGTGTTACAGATGCTAGATGACCTCGAGAAAGCTGAGGCGGTGTGGCAGTCCAAGCTCAAGGAGCAGCAAACGATCGATTCACTGCAAACGATTCAGTGGGGGAGTCACAGCTCCCGAGCAAAGGAGTTACAGCGCAAGCTCCGAAACTCGAGTGCGTATCGGCGTGTTTTGTACGCCCGATATCCCAACGCCGGCCTCACGTCGTTACAACAGATGAAGATCACTCGAAATGACGACGTCGCGCTCGTCGCGCTGTCGACATACGCTGACGATCTGGTCCGCGTCGCCGCGGCGCTTCGCGCGAGAGCGCTCGACGTCTTCGACGCGCATCACGCGTGCAAGGGCGAGCCCAACCCCCACCGCCGACGGCCGCGAGCCCCGAGCGTGGTCGAATACGTCTCTATGGGTCTTGGCTACACTTCGGCTGTGATGTACGACCTTCGTAAATCCCTCGAGGCGTCCTACGACGATGCCTGGCAGTTTGTCGGCATCACCCGCCGCGGATGCACTTCCACGCCCACCGCGGCACCTGCCGACCGATCCCCTGCCGCCATACACTACGTCTCCGACGTCGACACCGACTCCGAGGACGAGTTCCCATCGTCGCCCTAGTCACGCCGGCGTCATCGCGCGACACCGATCGACAATGTAAATATTCACTCGCGCCGCTCGCACTCGTTTGCGCCCTGTGGCCCTTCTTCACTCCTCGACGCGTCTTCGCGCCGTTTCGTCCACTTCGTCGCCATCAAAGCGCGTCCACGCGACACGCGCGCACACGTTGACCGCTCTCGAAGCGTCGTAGCGGCGTCGATCGAAGCGCGCGTCGTCAACACGCGAGATCTTTCACAAAGGGCTCTCTGGCTAAGTTGAAAAGATTCAATCTTCGTCGCCATGTCGGACGTTTTCGAAGAGTTTCGACACGTCAACGGCGAATTGAGAAAGGTGGAGGACGGTGATGTCGGTGCGCGCGGGGATTTGAGTGCGAACGCTTCACTGAGCCCGCCGTGGATGCGCGCGGGGTCGAAGCCGAAGGCGGGCGGAAAGCGCAAGCGTAGAGGCGACGCCGACGCGGACGACGATGATGGATTCGTCGTGAGCGACGACGACGGTGACGATGAGGAAGAGATCGACGAGGAGAACGAGATGAGCGTCGCGAGCGAAAGCTCGCTGGGAAGCGCGAGCGACGAGGAGGTTGATGGGTTCGGAATGAGCGCGGGGTACGAGCGCCAGAGCGGATACAACCCGGTGGTTGCTGGGTTTCGCGCGCCGGCGAGGAACAGCGGCGGCGGCTCGAAGGCGGTGGCGACAACGTCGAAGTTGACTTTCAACATGAAGAGACCATCAACCTCGGCGGCGCAGCAGCAGCAGCAGCAGGCGTCGGACGACGAGGCGAGTCTCAGTGGGAGCACGACGGACGACGAGAGTGTGAGCGCGAGCGAGTCGGAGGACATCGACCTCGGGTCGAAGGCGAGGAGCGAGACTAAGGCCAAGCTCGACGCGTTGGCGGCGCAGGCCAGAGAGGCGCGCGCGGCGCCGAGTTATCGACAGCGGGAGGATTATGTCGCGCAGCGAGAGGAGGATGAGTTTGATGAATATCGCCCAGACGCGGAGGACTGGAAGAGCGCCGGCGAGCAAGGTGATGCGGATGACGATCGCGCGTACGAGGAGTGCAAAAATATGTCCAAACGATTGAGAAACACGCTGAAGGAAGCACAGAACGCCGCGAACGGCAAGTTACCGGTGTTTTCGGTCGACAACGTCGTCGAGGCGACTGGAGGGCGGGAAAGCGGTACATTCGCAGTCAATCTCAAACCGTATCAAATGGTTGGCGTGAATTTTCTCATGTTGTTACAGCAAAACGGAATTCCTGGGGCGATTTTGGCCGATGAGATGGGTCTCGGGAAGACTGCGCAGGCCATTGCGTTCATTGCCACCAGTAGGTATCATCCAAATGCTGGCGTGCACGCGGAGAAAGGCGTGCGCTGGCCGCGCGTAGAGACCAAGGCCAATCCTGTTCTCGTCGTATCCCCGGCGAGTCTTCTCGAGAACTGGAAGCGGGAGCTTGGGATGTGGGCGCCAAATCTGCGTGTCGGTGTATTTCACGGAGAAACGCGCGTCGAGGTTCGTCAGACGGAAGAGTTTCATCGCCAACACACGGGCGAGTGTTGCTTCGACGTCATCATTGTTTGCTATTCTTTATTTGAGCGTGATTCCATTGAATCACAGGACAACCGATCGTGGTTACAAGGAATGGAATTTTCACATCTTATCCTGGATGAGGCGCACTTACTGAAAAACAGAGACGCCCAGCGCACTATTCGCCTGACGCGTACGGCACGAAAGGCGCACTATCGACTTCTTCTCACTGGGACGCCGCTGCAAAATAACCTTAGGGAATTAGAAGCGCTCATCGAGTTTGTTCTGCCCGGACTGCTCAAAGATGGTGAGCTAGGAGACGGTATCGATGACGAACAGGCAGAGCGCCGCGTGACAAAAGTTCGCCGCATTTTGGAACCGTTCGTCCTTCGACGATTGAAGGAAACGGTCGCGACGCAGCTCGCTCCGAAGACACAGGTGAAGGAAGTCATCAAGATGCACGACACGCAGGCCGAGGCGTACAAAATTGCTGTGGAGAGAATTCGACGGGAAGCACTAGAAGGCAAGGGTAGTAACGGAACCGGAACAGGCTTGACGCAGTCGCGCTTGAAGGCCATCTTTGTCCACCTGCGAAAGGTTGCAAATCACCCTCTGCTCGTGCGCAGCAAGTACACGGATGAGGACCTGGTTGAAATCGCTGAACAGTGCCACCAACGTCGAATCTTCGGCCCTGACGCTCGCTTGGAGCGGGTTAAGACGCACGTCGATAGTTTGAGCGACTTTGGTCTCCATCAGCTCTGCGGGGACTTCATGCTTCAGGGCGCGCTGAGGGAGAAACTGCTGAGTCCCGAGTGCGGCCTCGAGAGCGCAAAAGTGCAGCGCCTGCGAGAGCTACTGGTCGAATTGAAAGCAAAGGGCTCGCGCGCGCTCATCTTCTCGCAGTGGAAGATCATGCTAGACATATTGGAATGGGTGCTCTGCCACGTTGGTTTCTCCTACGCCAGGCTCGACGGAGACACCGCGGTGGAGGAGAGACAAGAGCTCGTCGACAAATTCAACGCCAAGGACTCGTCCTTAGACACCTTCCTCCTCTCCACGCGCGCCGGAGGCCAGGGATTGAACCTCACCGGCGCCGATACCGTCATTTTACACGACTGTGACTTCAACCCGCAGATCGACCGCCAGGCCGAGGATCGCTGTCACCGCCTCGGACAAGAGAAACAAGTTACGGTGTACCGCTTCGTCACCGAGGGAACCGTCGACGAGAAAATCGTCGCCATCGCCGAGCACAAGATGAACCTCGGCAGTACCATCCTCGCCGAGGGCGAGCAGGCGAAACCCGACTCCAAGGAGGAGACGCGCGCGATGCAGAGAATCATCGAGGAGCTCGTTCACGGCTCGTAGTCTCGCGTCGTCAATCATACGTGCGCCGGGGTGTGACGCATCTCCATTTAGTGCTTGCATTACAGTACCGGTACATTTGTCGCGATCATCACCATATCATCATCATCATCATCATCATCATCATCACGTTGACGTTCTTCACGTCGTAGGTTGAATGAGCCAAGGCCACTGTTTTGGGAAACGAGTCCAAGTATCGGCCAAGTCTCGAACAGCGGCTCCAAATCTGTGAAATCCCGTGACTTCATACGTGTAATTTCCATAGCCGTGACCATAAACATCAAACATATCGTTAATTTCCTCGCGCCAGTCTTGAATCGTCTCTTGAAACTCGCGACAGTATTCGTGGAGATATTTCATTTGAGCCATGCGCTTTGCGACGTTTTTCGCCGTCCATTTCTTGCGTAAGCGAAGGCTCTTGGGAAATCCTTCAATGAATAATTCACTGAGCTTAGAATCAGCGCGTAGTTCGCATCCGATAAGATCTAACTCAGCCTTCAATGCTTCCGTACGTTTCTCACGCGCCTTTTTCTCGAGCAACTGCTTATCCTGCTTCGGCGCGGGCGGGGCGCAAATTCGCTCTCGCTCGCTCGGAGTTTTTGCACGGCTTAAAAGCGCCTTGCGATTCGTCACCGATTGCTTCCAGAATCGAATCATCGTATACGGCGATCTGTAGAATTGGCTCCAACCTTGAACTTCATCGTGTGGCAAACCTTTTGTGAGTTCTTCATACGTCGCCGATTTGGTCCATGATTCGTCCTCGAGCTCTTGATGAATCACCGTGTGCTTTTGAAGACAATCTTTGCACATACGCACGCCAAAAACCCAATTCGGTTTACGCGTCGTCGGATGAGCATCACACGATTGACAGCCAAGCCCAGTGAGGAAAAACGCTTTGTGTCTCCACAACATTGTCGGCGGCGCGTTGTCGATGCCGTGCGTCGCGTCCGACACTTCGCAAAAGTTTTCAAACGCAAGTTGAAAGATCTCCTCCCCGAAATCGCTACTCATCACTCGACATAACTGCTTATTTGTCCCTCGCATCGCAAACAACGTATCAAGTCGTCGCTTGTAGACAACCTTTCGTTTGTCAACTTTCTCACCTGTTTTTCGATGGGTCGAATACAACTTATCTTCATCCACATCTTCGCACACAAACTGCGCGATCGCGCCCCACACGTCATCAGGAAGCGCCACGCCGCTCTTTTCCATCTTTTTCGTCGTCTTTCCTTTCGTCGTCTTGGCGATCGTATTCGGTCCTTTCTTATTACTACTCGTCGCAGACGACTTCCCAGACGGTTGAGCCTTTGCGAGCTCCGCTTTCGCCTTTGTCGTCTTCGGCTTCTTGGCCGTCGTGCTCGGTACGTCATCGCTCGGTTTCATCGCACGCGGCTCGACTTTCACCGTCACCGCCTTTGTCTTCGCCGCCTGTGTCGTCGTCATCGTCCTCGTCCTTTTCTTTTCTCGTTTCGGCCCATCGTCCTCAGCGTCCATCGTCAACCGCTCGACGGGCTTACGTTTACGCAGCGACGTTCGAGTCGCGGTCGATACCATCACGATCATCTCACGAATCCGGCACAGCATGCGCGACGGCGCGCGCGGGCCAAATAATGACGACTGTGGTGAGATTGATTTCTAGACTCGACTTCCGAGACGCTCTTTCCGCACTCGTCCGCCCTCGTCCCGAGCCCCGTCGCGCGCGACACCGCACCCGCGCGCGATCGCGCGCGATCGACCGTCGCGTCGAGGTCGTCGTCGCGCGATGCCAAACTTTTTCGAGCGCGCGAGCGCTGGTTTGAGTTCGCTGCTCAACGACGCGACGATCCGCGCTCGCGCCGCGAAATCCACCGGTGCCGCGCTCGGGCGCGCGGGCGGAGACCTCGGGGAGCGACTCATCGAGGCGCTGAAGACAGCGGCGCGCGTTCGTAGGGATGGCGCGCTGGAGACGAGCGAACTGTGTGATCTGCAAGTCGGCGTAAACTGTTACGCCGACTCGCCGGGATTCATGCGGACGCAATTGTGGGAGTCGTTGCTCGACCGAGCGGAGCGCGAACGCGGGGACGATGGACGCGCGAGGTCGGGAGCGGACGCGGGACGATCGGAGGAGGGGGAGACGCTGGATGACATGTGCGCGATTCTCGCCGCGGATGGATATTACGAGACGCTGCAGGAGGCGTTCGAGGCGAAGAGCGAGCGCGAGCGCGAAGCCGAGAACTCGGGGTCGACGGGAGATGGACGCGATGGTAAAGAATGGCGAGAGAACGTCGGGGCATCGATCGAGCGGGATCTGAAGCGGACATTTCCGCACCACGAATTTTTTGTTGCGTCCACCGCGAAGGGCGACGCGGGCCGCGCGGCGTTGGCAAACATACTCAAGGCGTACGCCATGCACGATTCTAAGGTTGGATACTGTCAAGGGATGGCGTTCGTCGCCGGATTGCTGTTGATATATCTCCCCGAGAATCGCGCGTTCGCGGCGTTTGTGACGTTGATGGAGGGAAGCGACTTTCGTTCTATGTACGTGCACAGCATGGAGGGACTGAAGGTGCGTCTTCGTCAACTCGGGGCGGTGGTGCGAGCGAAGAACCCGACGCTGGCGCATCACTTAGAGGCACACGACGTCACGCCCGTGCTGTACGCCTCCGGTTGGTTCATGTCTGCTTTTGCGTCCGACTTTCCGGTGCGCTTCAGCGGTCGCGTCATGGATTGTCTCCTGGCTCAGAGATCGCCCTCGCTCATCATGCGCATCTGTCTCGCCATATTGAACGAAGCAGCGGGTGATTTGCTCAAACTGGGCGATTTCGAGGCTATCGTGGTGTACCTGCGAACAGAGCCGCGGGCGTGGTCTTACGAGCGCCTGAACGCCGTCATGGAAAGCGCTCTCAGTATGCACGACCTCACGGACGAAAACGTCGAGCGTATGGACAAGGGAGCCGTCGCGACGGAAGACGTCGTCCAATGCACGCCGTCACCTGCGCTGGCGAAGGGTCCCTCGACCGAGGATCCGCTGATCGACGCGTCGGACGTTGCGGAGTCTCCGCGTTCACCCGCCCACGCGCGCTCGCCATCCGCCGTGGACGACGATAAGATCCTCGACGTGATCGCGATGCTTGACGATTGGACGACGATAGAATACGACGCTGAGAACGAATAGAGGTCAATGACGACGATGAGAACGAAAAGCGCGACGCTTGCAATGACGAGACGTAAAATCTTAGCCACACATCCCGCCTCCGCGCCATGCCCACCGACGTCGATCCCTCACGCGTGATCGACGTCACCTCGCTCCTGCACCGCAACTGTTCCGAAGACGTGTACACCGATATCGGTCGCGAGATCGTTGCGCAGTGTCGAGCGACGGGTTTTTTCTCCGTCTCTCTAACGGTTTGTCCCGACGGTAAGTTCACCGCCCTGGATGCGTGTCTCCGGGCGTTGAGCCGCGCCGAATACGTCGACGATGACGTATCGATATCGGCCGAGACCTCGGACCCGGGTGTGGTGACGTTCGAGGACTGTCGAACGTGGTTCGCGCGTTCACCGGTTGAAAAATCCAAGTACGCGCTCGTCGACGGGCGCGGGTACCAGAGATTGGGCGAAAACGTTACCGAAAACGCAGCGGATCAACATGAGGCGATCGACTATTATCGACCATACGCTGTGCGTGAGCCCGGGACGCTGAAGGGGCCGCATGTGGACGTGGGGGATGATGCGCTCAACGCGCGTGTGGATGCGAGAGCGCTTGGCTCGATGCGGCTCGGTCGAGCGTTACTGCGAGCGATCGCCCGGTACTTGGAACGTGACTTGGAAGGGATGTTAGAGAGACCGATCGAATCGCTCGTCGATCGCTCGTTTTGGATCTTACGACTGATACACTCCCCCGGAATAAGTGATGATGACTCCGAGATGGACGAGAAGATGAGTTGCGGTGCGCACACGGATTACGGATTCTTGTCTTTCTTACAAGCCACGCACGCGGGATTGCAGGTTAAGCACGAAGACGGGAAGTGGGTCAATGCACCGCACGGCGATGATGTCATCGTGTGCAACATCGGTGAGATGCTCGAGCTCTGGACCGATGGAGCGCTCAAGGCGACTCGGCACAGAGTGATTCGTCGGAGGCGCGATTCGTGTTCAAAAGAATCCAGATACTCCATCGCCTTTTTCTATGAACCGAATTACGATGCAGTGATCGACAATAATTTGACCGGTACCCTCCCATCAGGGCGAATCCGACGCGTGCGCTACGCTGACTTTCTGAACCGAAAGGTTGCGTCAAACTTTCAGACAGTTGCGTGAGTCCGCCGTCAAAGTTCTCAGTTGTCCTCAGTCTGCGACGTGTCGACATGCGCACGAGTGCCGCCGCACCGCGCGATGCGCGCACGTGCACACGCACGTTTGTGCACCGCGCATCGAACGCGCGTCGCCCGCGCGCGCGCGCCCCGAGCGCGTCGACGACGCGGGGCGGTTTCCAGGCGGACGAGCGCGTCGACGTCGTCGTTGTCGGCGCCGGCGTCATCGGTCTGGCGTGCGCGCGAGAGCTTTCGAGGCGTGGTATGCGCGTGTTTGTCGCCGATAGAGCGCCCGCGGTTGGTTTGGGGACGAGCGCGAGAAACAGCGAGGTGTTACACGCCGGGATGCACTACGCACCCGGGTCGCTCAAGGCGGATTTTTGCGTCCGCGGACGACGAATGATTGTCGATTACTGCGAGAAGAAGGACGTTCGATGGGACAACATTGGGAAAATAATTGTTGCCTCCGAAGAGAGTCAAATGGACGATCTGGAGGCGATGATTGAGCGTGCGATGCGGAACGATGTTGACGACTTGGAGTTGCTTTCGGCGGAGTCGCTTCGTGAGTACGAGAAAAACGTGAGGGGTTTTGCCGGAGTTTGGTCGCCGTCCACGAGCGTAGTCGACACACGTGAGCTCATGGAGTCATTCAGGCGCGATTGCGTTCGCGACGGTCGAACCTCGATCTCACTCGGCGACGAAGTCGTGGAGATCACACCCGCCGGTCGGGCGATGTACCGAGTGAAGACGAAGTCCAAGGTCATTGCAGCACCGCGCATCGTCAATGCCGCGGGTTTGCACGCTCACCGCGTGTGCGAACGTATGGCCGAAGTATACGACCAAGTCGCGACACCGCCGCCACCACTGTACTTTGCACGCGGCTTGTACTGCACGCTGAAGAAGGGCTCAGGCGCGCCGTTTCAGAGACTCGTCTACCCGCTTCCTCGGCACGGCGGTCTGGGCGTACACTTCACTAAGGACGTGTTTGGCAACTGTAAATTCGGACCAGACATCGAATGGATTGATGAGATTGATTATACGATCAAGCCTGAGCGCGTTAGTGCGTTTTACGACGCTATTCGGGAGTACTGGCCAGAACTTCCCGATGGTTTTATACGCACTGCTTACACAGGCATCAGACCCAAACTCATCAATGAAACGGGAGATGAGGACGAACCGGGCGCTACGACAGATTTTGTGATTCAGACCGAGGTCGACCACCGGGCGTCGGGAGTGGTGCACCTTTTCGGCTTCGAGTCCCCCGGACTGACGTCGGCCATGTGCGTTGCAGAGCGCGTGTGCGAACTTTTAGAGTAACTGGTAGTTTTAGCCGAACTTCTCGCGCTAGGCGAGCGAAAGAATGTACTGTCAGTATTAAAGACAGTGCTATCAATGTGTGTGTGTTCGACGCCAACGAGCGCACACGACGCGACGCGGAGATTTCAGCCCGTCCCCCTCGACCGTGGTCAATTTCTGGAGCGAGGCGTCACGACTCCGCGTCGCGCGTCAAACGTGTTCGATGACAAGCTCTACCCTCATAGAACCCACACTTTACAAGTACTTGAGAATGTCGCTCTCGATAGAGAGCGGGCTCGACGTCGGCGCGTATCGTCCAACCGTTTTCCCATCCTTATCGAGAAGAAACTTTGCAAAGTTCCACTTGATTTCCGACCCCGCGAGCGCCATCAATCCGCTCTCCGGCGCCGTCTCCTTAAGATGCTTCCACAGCGGGTTCGCGCTCGGTCCGTTCACCATCGTCTTTTCAAACATCGGAAACGTCGCCCCGTACTTTTTCGCAAACTCCTTAATCTGCGCCGCGCTCCCCGGCTCTTGTCCGCCGAATTCGTTGCTCGGAAACGCCAAAACCTCCAAGTCGTCGTACTTCTTATCCAGTTGCACGAGCTCCTTGTAGTTTTGGTCCGTCAAGCCTCACTGCGACGCGACGTTCACGACCAGGCACACCTTCCCCGCGTACTTCGAGAGCTCGACGCTTTCACCATCGATGGTTTTCACCGTGAAGCCGTGCGCGGATTTCGTGTTCTTCGGCGCGCCGCCGCCGAAAAAGGCGCGCACGACGGCGTCCATGCGCCTCGCGCGGGTGTGGACGCGCGCGCGTTGATGCGTGAGCGCTCGACCGGGCGCGAGCGAACGCATGACCGCGCGTGCGCGAGTGCGGTGGTGGGCGCGTGCGCTTTTGGTGACGTCAGATGTCAACTCTGGGTTCGGTTCCGTTCGGTTCGGTTCGGTTCGGGACGACGGCGAACGCGGCGACGCGGCGGACGAGGGACGTGCGGTCAGCGTGGGGAAATAGGGGTGACTCATGTGACACGTGCGCGGTCACGTCGAGCCCTGGATGCCGTCGACGAATTTCCAAACGCCGTCGACGGTGCGAAACGTCGACAACTCGGCGTGCGTCTCCTCGGGGAGTTCGTTAAATCCCTTCTGCGCGACGACGCGACATTTATACTTGAACCCGACCAAATGCTCGCGTTCGTCTCCCTTCTTCTTCCCAGCGACGTCTCGGACGATGTCTAAATCGTAGAACCGAACCTTTTTACACGTCGCCTCGACGTCCGCGGCGAGCGTGGACACGACCTTCCCTTCCTTCGTCTTCGACCCTTCCTTGAGCAGCGGATTATCCGGATGCGTCGTTTCCAAAACGTACAGCCCCTTACCCTTCGCGTACGCGCTGAATCGCGATCGCATCAGCGTCACCGGATCCTCCGGGTACGCGTCGCCGTCGTGAAACCGCTTACAACAACTCCCGTACGTCAACGCCTCCGACCCCCCACCGCACGGGCACCGCTCGCTCGACGACGTCGCCCGCGTCTTCGCGCTCGCCCCGCCCTCGCCCTTCGCCCCGTCCTCGTCCGCGTCGCCGCGCAGGACGTCCAAGAAACCTTTCCCTCGTCTCGCTCGAACCGCCACGTGCGCGCGCCGCTTTTCGCGCGTCGCGTCGCACCGTCGCCCGTTCGGCGCGCGCGCGACGGTCGCGCGCGTCGTCACCATCGTCACCGTCGTTCCGCGACGCGCGCGTCGGTGCGTGCGGTGGTCGAGCGCGGGTTAATGCGGACGGGTCCCGCAGGTTCCGACGCGCGTCATGTCCAACTGGGCGCGTCTGCGCGCGGAGATGCGCGACGACGCGACGGCGTCGACGTCGACGATGCGGTCGCCGACCGCGGAGCGGACGAATGCGGGGAAGAAGCGGCGTCGACGCGACGGGAAGGCGACGGATGATTGGCGCTCGGGACGCACAGAGAAAAACGAGAGGAAAACCGACGCGACGACGACGATGGAGGGGCCGACGGCGGACACGTTCGCGTACGAGACGCGCGAGGGGTTGTTAGACGTCGGTGAGCGGCCGAGAGGGGACGAGCGGGCGATGGAGACGGCGCGAGCCGAGCGCGCGGGCGGAGAGGCGGCGTCGCGAACGAGCGCGGGACGGGAGGCGGTTCGTCTGCGCGTCGTCTCGAGATTGTGCGCGCAGTTCGAGCGCGAGTGCGGAGCGGTCATTGGGAAGCGGTGGTGCTCTTCGTTTGAGGAGTGGTTGACGACTTGGAAAGAAGAACCGCTCGTGCCCAAGGAGGCTCGATGTCGGTTGTTTCTCGAGAAACAGTTGAGAAAGTGTGGTGCAGAGGAGGAAGCGGTGGAAAAGGCGTGCGACGCGATGATGAGGTTCGCTCGAGATGCGTATGACGAGATGGTCGCGACCCGTGACGTCGTAGGTCTAGCGGAGGTGCGAACACGGGTTGACAAGGACGTCGTGACGCTTAGTGTCGGTAAATCCGACGTGCGAGTGAATGCAGAGCATTTGGAGAAACTCAAGGAGATGTATAGAATCGCAAACGGCGACAGGTTCACCGAGAAGGTATTTATGGCTGATGTATACACAATGGTGGCGCGTTACGACGCGGCGCAAGGGGGGCAGTACCGTTTTGCGGGCGGACACCACACGGCGCTCCACGGAGAGGTGTTCGATGTACTACGCGACGCCTTCTTCGTGTCGTGCGAGCTCTTCGCATCGCCGCTTAACGCTCGCTGGCCGACGTTTTGTAGCGCTCATATTGATGTCGATTACGCGTTCGGTTCGTTAGGAAGCTACAGAGATTTCAGGCCGAGTCACGGAAGTTATGAGGTCAACCCACCTTTCGATGAAGAACTGGTCGGCGACATGTCCAACCATCTCTTCGAACTTCTACAGAACGCGACCGGTGCGTTGACGTTTGTCGTCATCACCCCTTACTGGCTCAATCGACCGTGTTGGGAAGACATGCGACGGTCGAAATTTTGCACGCGCTGCGAGGTATTGAGTGTACGCGAAGCGGGGTACTTTGAAGGAGCGCAGCACAGAAAAAAATCTCGATTTCGATTCGCGACGAGCGACACGAGCGTTCTTTTCCTGCAAAACGAACCTGCGAAAATAGAGCACGCAATCACGCGAGCGAAGATCGACGCGCTCCGCGGGGCCTTTCGTCCCAAGGCGGACGCTAGGAAAAAGTAGCACCGGTAGGTCACTGAGCCAAATAAACGTCATTTAAAAGAGTCTCTAAGGCGCGGTGAAGAAAGGATGCCCGACCAACGGCTCGCCCACGAAGAGCGCAATGATGGTGAGCATGGCCAATCTCGCGTTGAGCATCTCCACGAACGGCACGAACCCGACGCGTCCGAGCACGGTGTCCTTGCCCGGAAGCGTTCTCGGGTCCAAGTTTAAGGGATCCACCAGGTACCCACGCTCCGCCCGCGCCGTGCCGTCGCGCTTCCACTTACACGCCCCGGTACCGAAAACCGTCTCCCCATCCGCTTCAACCTTAAACGCCGGCAAACAACTCGCTACGATGACCCCGGCGATGATGACCTCGCTCACGCCGTGCGTCAGGTTCCACGCCAACTGCTGCGCGAACCCTTTCCCCGTGATCACCTCGCTCGCGATCCCAGTCACCACCCCAATCATCGCCACCCGTCCATTCACGATCTCCGGCAGCACACCATCGCATCCGAACACCAACAGCGCGTCCACGCTCGTCGCTCGCGCCAGCGCCGACGCGTTATCTTCCCGCGCCGCGTTTCTCGAAATCATCTCCCGAAACGCCGCCTCTCGCCTCGCGTTCGCCCCCGGCGCCGTCTTCGCGCTTCGCGCCTCCATCTCTCGCAGTTCTCTCGTCTCCACCTTGGCCGGCGGTCCGCGCGCGACGCCGTCGAACACCGCCGCCTCGACGTCATCCAGCGCTCGCGCGTCCTCCTTCGCGTCCGCGTCCGACGCCGTCGTCGTCCCGCTCGCGTCGTCGACGCGACGATTCCGACGGGCGTCCCGTCGTCGTCGTCCACCGCGCGCGATCACGCGCGATCGCGACGCCGTGGACGCGCGCGGCGTCATCATCATCATCATCGCGCGACGACGAGTGCGGCATCGTCGCGCGCGACACATGACGGCTCGCAAACGCGCGGCGCCGAGCGCGCGACGGTGCGCGCGCGCGGGCGCGGTGGCGTCGACCTCGCACGCGCCGGCGCCGGCGTCGGACGCGGACGCGGACGCGTTGACGCGGTTGAGAGAATCCGAACGCATTCGCGATGCGCTCCGAGCGACGCTCATCGACCTCAAGCGTCGATACGAATCGCTCGAGCTCGCGCACGCGGGGGCGGAGACGCGACGGACGATCATTAAAGACGCGGACGCGGCGCGAGAGGTGGCGGTGGCGAGACAGCGGGCGAGCGCGGAGCGGGAGCGGCGGATGAAGGCGGAGGCGCGGGCGGAGGCGGCGGAGCGGCGCGCGCGAGAGGCGGAGAGCGATCGAGGCGATCGTGAGCGAAGGCGAAGCGCGGCGTTGGCGAGTGGGCTCGGTGGGTGTGACGCGCGAACGCTCGTGGGATCGGAGACGGATGCGCGAAGTGAGGAGGCGAAGGCGCTCGCGGCGGCGATGCGAGAATTGGAGTCGTTGCGAAGGACGTGCGAGAGGCAAAAGAAGGAGCTGGCGCAGGCCAGGGCGAGGTTGAAGCGCGTCGATCTGGGCGACGAGGGCGGTGCGGTTGATGACGACGGCGCCCGCGCGGGTGTCGCGCCGGAGACGACCGCGTCGGAGGCGAATCAGAGATCGACGCCGAGGCGCCGGGCGCGGGTGAAAAAATCGTCGGCCGCCGCGTCCGCGCGCGTCGCCGCGTCCGCGCGCGCCGCCGACGCACCCGCGGACGCACCCGTCGTGACCACCGACGTCGCGGAGAGTCGTCCACCACCGATGCCCTCGATCGACGAACCGTGGATCTCTCGTCCGCCCGGTCTCGTCGCTCCGCTCGGCGGCGCCCCGAGCGTGGCCAGGCGTCCCGTCTCCGCGACCGCCGTCGCCCCCGCTCGCAAGCGTCAGAAACCACCCGGGCGCTCGCCCGCCATAGCGAATATCGCTCGCGCGGTCGAGCGAACCTCTCGGGCGTTTCGCGCGCCGCACTAGCCTTTGCGCTCGCCCGACGTCGCCGCGCTGCAACGCCCATCCGCGCCCTCGGGCAACCAACTCGAATCCTCACGAGCGCCCGCACTCCTCGACCGCCGGCGCGCATGCGCTCGTTCGCGCGCGCGAACACCATCACCGCGCGCGCCGAGCGCTCGATCCATCGCTTCGTGGTCCCGCGCGCGCACAAACGACCGGAGAGCCCGCTCGTGCTGCCGATACAGAGTCATCTGAACGTCCAGGTCCCGGTCGACGGCTCCACGTTCGGTGCGTCTCGGTGCGAACCGGATGGCGTGGACGAGACGTGCACGATTACGCAGAGCGCGGAGGTGTACGACACGATCTGTAAGAAGTGCCGAGGGAATCGATTGGTGTTGACGAGGACGCGACGGGGCGGAAAGTACGTCGAACGGGCGTGCGCGTGCATGGCGTGCGCGGGTACGGGGGTGGTGCGGGTCGCGACGACGCGGTTTTCGGCGGATTTCGCCGGGGATGATAGTGAGGCGGCGTATTACCGGGCGATGGAACGCGAAGCGGACGTGCCGGAGAAGCGGGATCACTTTCGGTTGAGTCCGTTTAGCGCGTTCGAGAAGCAATCAGCCGTCAAGATGAAGAAGCGAGAGTCAACGCGCCAAGGGTCCATCGATGAGCGCGGGGAGTCCGTTCGCTGAGATCGATCGTGAGAATGCTCGCGTCACGAGAGAGAGTTACGCCAGGCGCGTCGAAGTGTCGAAGGTTAGTGTATACATGTTAACGGCTGCCGTGCCCACACAAAAGCAACGTTTCACGAGAAACGTCGTCGTCGGTGGGTCTTCTTTGTTGTATCATACGTACCTTACCGGTACAATGTTATGAGTATCTCACAGTATAATCGCTTGCATCATTACACGAGTGACGAAAATATCAATCTTCCTAAGGAGAGCCCCTCTCAATCCTCCGTGTCTGCACTTGGCTTTACCTCTTCTCGCAGGCGTCTCTTCGCCCCGGCGCCCATCGCCTTGACTGCCGCGCTCGCGAGCGCAGCCTTGTAGTCGGTACGATTGATTAATAAAACTCGCGTGCTGGAGCAGCTGTACGCTCGGAAATCCGGAACATACGGTTCCTTGGTGAGCGCGCTTTGTCCGATGTAGGACCACGGGCCGAGCTCCGACTCAAAGTCCTCAGAGCCGGCGAACACTCTGACTTGTCCCTGCAAAACGAGCGCAAAGTGATCCGATGGCTTGCCTGGCTTGAAGAGCAGATCCTCCTCGTACTCGCGCGCTCTATGCACGCCGGGCGTGCCTGCTGTACTATTATCGCTATCGCTCGAGCTTGTCTCGTCGTGCTCCTCCACCTTCGCTGTTTCGATGAGCTTGCGGAGCACCTTGGGATACTTCCCAAGAGTTGCGAATTCCGGCACGTTGCTCGAAAGGAAAGCCTGAATTGCACTAACCTCGTTCTCACCTAGCTTCAAATCCTCGACCATCTTGTGTTCGAAGACGCTCAAGAACTTGGTGGGATCCGCGCCGCGGTGTCCCACCCGTCTCTCCACGATGGACGACGGCTCGTTCACGTCCACCAAGTTGTCCGTCTCGTCCACGATCTCGTCTTTCAAAAGCGCCTCAAGAACGTCCTCGAGGGTGATGATACCTGTGACGACGGCATTCAAGCCATCCTTGCGCGGCGGTCCGTGCTCGTCGTGCGCGCAAAGCAAATGCATGCGTGCATTCTTGAACTCGATGAACACCTTGTCGAGCGTCGTGGTGTCCGAGATGTATCGTAAGAACCCTCCGTGTGCCCCACCGTGGAAAGCCAAGAGTGCCGAGAGTTCGATCTCGTCGTCGGGATCGATGAGAATCAAATCCTTCGTGAAAAGGATGCCAACAATGTTCGAGCGCGTTCCCTCGTACACCGGGATGCGCGTGAACCCGCTCTTGTAAATTTCCATCAACACCGGGAACGAAAGTTTCGTCGAGATGTCGATCATGTACACCTTATCCAGCGTCGTCATAACATCCGAGACGGTGAGCGATTTGTACTCCAGGACGCCCGTGAGCATGGTGGCGTCCTGGTGATTCAACCCGGACTCCGTCGCCCCCTCCGGGTTCTCAACGTGCACGCGCACCAAGTGCTTCAGCTCATCAGACGTGTGAAACGTCCCAATATCAACCCCCAAAATCCTATCCAAAATCAGAGAGATTGGATACGCGACGACGAACAACAACGCGATGAACATCTTCATGATCCAAATCGTCTTCGCTCCGATGTACAACCCGTGCCTCGAACACAGCGCCTGCGGCGTGATCTCCCCGAAGACGACGATTCCAAGCGTCGACGTCACTAAACCGATCGCCCCGTTCGTCACGCTCGAGAGTAAGATTGAAATCATCGAGTTCACCGCGGTGTTTCCCAGCAACAGCGTGCACAGGAGAAGATTTCCATTCTTCCGCACCGGGATGATCGCCTTGGCGTACTCCCTGTCCTCGGGAGCCCCACCCTCGGCGATGATTTCCAATCCAACCGGGTCGAGCGACATCAGACCGAGCGTCAAGCCCGAGAAGAGCGCGGAGAGCATGATCAAACACGACGCCAAGACGAGGCTCGGCGTGGTGTCCAGAAAAGGCTGCGGCGCGACCTCGTACCCGGCGCTCGTGAAGCAGGACGTGGCGCACGCGGCGTCGGCGGCGGCACCGCACGCGGCGACGCACGCATCGAGCGTCGAGGCCATCGCGCGGGGTCGGGGCGCGCGGGGGGGGGCGGGGGAATGAGGGCAGATTTTCGTCGACGCGTTTTGCCTCGACGCGCGCGCGGGCGGAGCCGGTGGGCGTCGACGCGAACGACAGACGAAGGCTCGGTGAAGCGTGGATGCTTTCGTAGCGAAACGATGAAAGAATATGAATGTAAACGTCGTCTACGAGAGCTGACGCGGGCGAGCGAGGACGAGGGCGCTCACGCCTCTTGCGTGTAGACGGCGTCGACGTCGTCCAGGGCGAGCAGGGCGTCGACGATTTTTTCGTTGATCGCGGCGTCTTCGTCGCTGACCTCGATCTCGGCGACGGGAATGCACTTCAAACCGGTCTCTTCGTCGTTCACCTTGAGACCGGCGTCGCGGCACGCGTCCTGCACGGCGGCGAAGTCGTCGAGTTGGCACACGACGTCCCAGCCGTCCTCGCCGTCGCTTCGGGGCGCGATGTCCTCGGCCCCGGACTCCATCGCGATCTCGAAGACCTGTTCCTCGTCACCACCATCGATCACGCACACGCCTCTGCGGTTGAAGTTGAACATGACGCTCCCCGGTTCGGCCATCTTCCCGCCGGCTTTCGTCGCCGCCGCGCGCGTCTCGCCAGCCGCCCGGTTCACGCTATCCGTCAGCACCTCGCACACGATCCCGACCCCCCCCGCGCCGTACACCTCATACGTGAGTTCAAAATAATCTCCAGTCTTCCCCTCTTGCGCCTTTTTTATGTTTCGATCGATCAAATCTCTCGGCACGTTTGCGTTTTGCGCAGCCTTGAGCAATCGCCCCAGCGCCACGTTCGCCACCGGATCCGCCGACCCGCCTTGTTTCACCGTCTGCACGATCAATTTCCCGTACCGTCCGTACAATTTCGTTCGCGCCGCGTCCGTCTTTCCCTTCTTCGCCGCGATCTTCGCCGCTTTGCGTCCACAGAGCACTTTCGAGCTCGCGAAACCCCGAGATCGATCCATCGGCCGTCCCGCGCGTTCGACCGCGCGAGCGCCGCGCACGGCGGTGGTGAAGGCGAGCGATCGGGCGGCGACGCGCATGATCACCTCCGACGCGTCGCGACGTGCGTCGCGCGCGCTCGACGCGCGTCGCCGTGGATGGATTCGACCCTATCGGTCCTTCGTACTGTTCGCCCACACGCGTGACGACACCGACGACGGAATCATCCCATCGCGCCGCGCGCGAGAGACCGACGCGCGCGCGACGGCGGCGAGCGCGACACCGCGCGCGGCGTCGACGCGTCCGACCGCGCGTCGACCGGTGACGCGCGAGGGGGGGCGAAGGGCGGCGAAGAGATCGCGCGGTGCCGACGCCATCGGCGCATTCGCCATCGAGGCAACGCGCTCTTGGGCGTCGCGACGGGCGCGCGCGCGCGGATGACGCGCGCGCGGACCATCGTGGAGACGCTCGAGCGCGCGCGCGCGGCGTGGAGGTCGTGCGGACGATCGGGAGGGGTGGGCGGACGCGCGCGCGGGACGACGGCGCGCGGCGTCCGGGACGGCGCGCGAGAACTCTCGACGACCGGTGGCGCCCGGGGGACGGGGGTGGGATGGCTCGGGAGGTGTGGTGATCACGCGTGGGCGTCGTGGAGGCTCGGGGTCGCGTCGAGGGCTGGATTTAAGACGTCCGCGAGCTCGAGCGCCAAGGGGCGGAATTATTACGAAGTGCTCGGCGTCGACCGGGGGGCGAGCGCGGGGGAGATAAAGAAGGCGTACTACGCGCTGGCGAAGAAGTATCATCCGGATACGAATAAGGGTGACGCCGAGACGGAGAAGGCGTTTCAAGAGGTGCAAAAAGCGTACGAGGTGCTGCGGGACGCGAAGACGCGGAGCACGTACGACCAAGTCGGGCACGGGAATTACGAGAGCATGGAGAGCGGCGGCGGTGGACCGGGCGGAGGTTTCAGTGGGTTCCAAGATTTTGGCGGTCAGGGTGGATTCGGCGGATTCTATCAAGCCGGAGGTGGCTCGAGCGGTGGGTTCGACCCGTTCGAGGAAGTGCTGCAAGATTTTTTCGGCGGCCGAGGCGGCGCCCGCGACATCCAGGCGACGATTGAAATCACCCTCGATGACGTCCGACGCGGTGCGAGTCGAGAGATAAATATTCCCGAAACGGTGATTCAGGTTCGAGGAAAGCGAGAAACGCAAGCGGCGCGGGACGTGAAGGTTGATATCCCGAGAGGAGTCGAGGATGGCCAGCGCCTTCGCGTCGCGGGCGAGGGCATTCGAGGCGTGAACGGACGCGCGGGCAGTCTCTACATCAACGTGCAAGTCCGTCCTGATCCGAGATTCAGACGGGTTGGGGCTGATCTCGTGACCCTCGTCGAGATTCCCTTCTACACCGCCGCCCTTGGAGGTGTCACCAAGGCACCAACGATGGACGGAGACGTAGAGGTGAAAGTGCGGAAGACAACGCAGCACGGCGATCAATTGCGACTGCGCGGACGAGGTCTTCCCGTCCTCGGCACGGCGCTCATGGGCGATCTATTCGTTCGATTTAGCGTGTCCACGCCCGCGAATCTCAACGAGCGCCAGAGAGAGCTCCTCAACGAGTTCGCCGAGGAAGAGAACAAGAAGAACGCCACACCCGTGCCGAGTGAGGAAAAAGATAGCAAAGAGGCGTGAAATGGACGCCTCACTAGCTAGTGAACGATGCAAATATCATTCAATCCATTCATACGACGCTTTATTCGACGAAACGGGGCACGCGCGCTTGAATTGATCGACACCCTCGCCGGAACGTCGTATTACATCAGCTAGAATTTTGACCTCTTCCCCAACTAAAGTTTTCTACGAAACAATCGTTTCAAACTTACGCCTTGAGCGCGTACTTGCGCTGCGGGAAAGCCGCGTCCTTCTTCGCCTGGCGAGCGGTCTTCGCGCCCTTCTCAGACTTGGTCAAGGCGCGGCGAATGGCGCGCGTCTTCTTCTTGCGCAAGTCGAGCGGCTGGTACTTCGCACCCTCGTACGCCGATCGCAAAGACGCCAACTGCTTGTGGCGCATCACCGTAAGGGTTTGCGCAATCGCCAATCGCACTTGCTTGATCTTGCTAAGCTTGCCCGGGGCACCGCCCGTCACCTTGGCGACGCGAAGCGCGGCGAGCTCCGACTTCAAGCCGTCCAAGGATTGCTTCAAATCAGCCTTGGACTTTTCGCGGAGTTCGTGGCATCGAAGGTGCACTGCGTCGCGAAGCACGAACCCAACAGGTCAGTCTCATAAATCTCCAATCCCCCCCCTCACCCACTCGCGCGCGCCGCGCGCGTCGCCGCGCGGAGCCCCTCGACGCGCGACCCCCAAACCCCGCGGGTTAGGGCTTTCCCAATCCATCCCCACCCCGCCCCGTCGACGCCCCCAC